AGGACTACGCTCTCACAGAAAACCAACGTAAAATAGCAGCTTAACGCTGCTGTGTTTCGTATGGTGAGTGTAGAGAACCGGAGACCCTTTTTATTGGCAAAGAGGCATTCCATCTTAGTCCTCACGGGTGACAACGCATTTGCATCTTGAGTCTTTATTGAGGATAGATGTAGATGTCTATGGGTCACAGTAACCACTTACTATCAGGTGGACTGTGTGCTGGTTTGTCACCATATCCTATAAAAAAAATGGACGAACCATACTTTTCCAAATAAAGACTATTTTTATTCTATTCTAAAGACGCTTAAGTCTATATGCTATTTCAAAAACGTAAGAGCAAAAAGTTGTTGCATTAGTTCTTAAATGACAACCGAGTTGAATCCGTCGATTGACCTCTCGGTCGAAGTTGGACTTACCTATTCAGTCTATTTGTCGAAGGTAAACATACTCGTCAACAAGCTTAGTGCTTTCGAGCTTAGTGCTCCCAATAACTAGCGGCATAGGTGTGACATGGACATTAAACGTGATCTTTGTTTTGTCCATGTTCATCTTAAGACCTATCCGTTGGGAAACACTATTGAGGTCATTGAGCATAGTGCTTAGGTCCTCCAGTAATTCTGCCATAAGGACTATATCGTCAGCAAATCGAAGGTGAGTTATGTACTCGCTGTTGATGTTAATAGCGTATCCTTTCCAGTCTACAAGCTTGAAAACGTCTTCCAATGCAGCGGTGAAGAGTTTCGGGGATATGACGTCACCCTGTTTTACACCTCTCTGCAATTGGGTAGATTTCGTACTCTGGTTCTGTTCTCGGATAGCCATCGTAGCCCTACTGTAAAAGCACTTCAGCACTTCGATGTACCAACAGTCAACTTGGCACCGCTGAAGGGACTGCAGCACCGCCAAAATTTCGACGGAATCAAAGGCTTTTTCATAGTCCACATACGCCAGACATAGTGGCAAACTGTACTCCTCGGACTTCTGTACTATTTGCCGAACGGTATGTATGTGGTCTATGGTACTAAAGCCTTTTCGGAAACTGGCTTGTTCGGGAGGCTGGAAGTCGTCAAGTCTGCGCGCATGTCGAATCGTAATGACTCTCGAAAACAGCACGTAGACGCAGCTCAGAAGGGAAATCGGTGTAGTTCTTGAAGAGAGCGTTGTCACCTTTCTTGAAGACCAAGACTGTTCACGCCCTTAGCTGCCCCGGCAAAGGTCGAATGGGCTAGGGCCCATAGTAGTCTCCTCGACGAGCAACAGAGGACGGGGCCCAATGGCCTATGGATAAATGTTCAAAAACGGCTGACAAATAAGCAAGCACTTACCAATCTCCGGAGGTAGGGTTGACCACAGGGTACCAGTCAGGTGATAAGTGAAGTGTATGTAAAGTGGTGTGCGAAAGTGTATATACATGTAACCTGACGGTCCGATGTAATCGGAGAGAAGATCCACAGGCGCTGCTGCTCTCCAAATGTGCGCTCCCTCCAGTCGTAGTTCACCAATTGAAAACTACTGCCTTATTTTCACTATTTCAGTATTCACTTCACTATTTCATTTATTGTACATTTAATTAACTTCAAAGTCAACCAACTCAACGTTCATCGAAATTAAAACAAGTGACACACGACACAAGTAACAAACCGTCGTTCAAAGTTCAATATTCAATGTACCGGGTTCACGTAGCACAAATTTACAAACACAGGAACGAACGCGGCCTCTTCTCGAGTCTCAAAGTTCAGCGTTCCACACGACAAGCTAAAATTCTTTCGTACGATATTAAAATACCACGCCCGCAATCGGAACTCAAAATTAGCCTCGTTGACACGTAAAACGATCGAAAATATTCAACACACAAAAAAGGCACTTAACGCGACGTTACAATTCAACATTAACTTCCAAAAACAATTAACCGGGCCACGCCCCCGAAATGGACTGCGAGCATCAAATTCCAGGCCGTCTATTCACTCGGCTTGCGCGCACGGTTCCGCGTTACACAAGCAATTTAAATATTGCAAAATGCACTTTAACATGCAATCACTATACAAATTGACGTAAATTACTTGCAAACGAAGTTACGCGCGCAACGTCCTAACGGTCGCAAACAATACTCTAGTCGACAAAGCTGCGGCGTTCAAAGCACTGTTCAATTCACCCACGCGCAGAGCGACTGAGCGGTGAGTGGAGAGACGCGCGTGGGGGACGCCAGGCTGACTGGCAGCATTGAACGAACGCGCCGCGCGAGCATCTTGATGCAAGTTTTTAAAATATTACGATTTAGCCTAAACAAAGACCATCACACTTGTGCTCCACGTCTCCGGTGTAATGCCACCATGGAGGACGGAATTAAAGAGCATCAGAGAAGGATTTCAAGTACCGGTTTTCCACCCGCTTTCAGAAGCTCCGCTGTAATTCCATCCTCGCCAGGGGCCTTGCCGTTTTTAAGGTGCTGGAGAGCCATTCTAATCTCGCTCAGTCTCCGTCTCTGACGTCCGGGATATCATCGGAATAGTGTCGGATAAGACTCGCTCTTGGATCGTTACTCATACTAACGTGTGGCTCCAACGATAATGTGTACACCTGCCCATAGAACCTCTCAATCTCACTCAAAATCTCAGGTGTTCCGGAAACGACGCTGCCACGCTTGGTCTTCAGCTTCGACAGTTTGCTCTTTCTGGCAGACAGATCTGAGATCTGAGATACAGCAAAGACTTTGGAGCCCTGATTCCGCTCGATTGCTTCTTTAATACGAGCTGTATTGAAGTTGCGTAAGTCCCGCCGCATGCATTTGGAGATCTGTCTGTTCAGTTGCCTGTATGCTGTCAAATCTACTGAAGACTGTAGCTTCATATCCCGTCTAACAGCCATGCGATTAAGAGTGTGATCGGAGAGTTTTGTTCTTCGTGCGGCGGGTCTTGTAAAACTTAGCTTCGACCGCATGAACAGTTTTGGACGAGCTAGTCATTCATATCGTCCATTGCATTCCAATCTTCTAGGCACTGAAAACAGTTTCGTAGCTCGAGCTGAAAGGTTTCTGGACTTTGGATTAGAGCACGAGGGGACGGATTGTTGACTTCATTAGACGTGACCTCTCCAACTTAACTTTTAGGTTCAGTGTGCCTCTCACCATTCTGTGATCGCTACCGGTTTTCGCCCTCGCGATCACTGAGATATCACTGAACAGTTGTCGTCTGGTCGTCATAATGAAGGCAATCTCATTTTTTGTGGAACCATCGGGGCTCGACCAGGTCCACTTCCTGTGGGGCCGCTTCTGGAAGAAAGAGTTGATCATAAAGAATCCCTCTTTCTCCATGAAGTCGGCCAGCTGCTGGCCCGTTCGGTTCCGTTGCCCTATTCCGAATTTCCCTACTTTCAGCTCACCGTTCTCTCTTGTGCTTAGTTTTGCGTTGAATGTATGTATCTACATATTATGTATTGTAATTTTAATTCAAATTTTAGCCACTCGCTAACGTCTACATAGTTTGAAAGTTTGTAGAAGTTTAACACACTATTGAAGACATCCACGACTTTTTCTGCCACCAGGGCGGCGCCTCTAGAAGGCGAGGTCGAGGTACAATATTTGACAGATTTCATAGCAGGGAAGTTGATTTGTTAGGATAATGTAAAGGTTTTTGGCTCTTTCTGTACTATTAGTTATATTTTATATTAATAAGATTGAAAAGAAATAAACCAAAGCACAGATATTCGTAAAAGCAGAAAATTAAAAAAAAAAGTTAAAAATATGCAAAAAATAAAAGAGCAAACCACTGAGGCATTGCTTCGTGTATTAATATAATACTCTAGAAACTGATAAACTTTTATTTAAAACCAACTTCTCAATTAAATGATATTGTGCAATAAAAACTTTTCCTCAGTGTCAACTAGCGACATCTGGTGAGAAGAAAATTATTAGCCCTCATTTAGTGACTATGCTAATGTGTGGTGTCTTAGTTTTTTAAAATCTCTAAATTTATTTTGTAAAGGGTGACACTAAAATTAACTTATCAAGTTTTTCAATATTGTTTTAACATTGTTTTTGGCGGTTGAAATTGTTCAACACATCAAAAAGAAGAGTATATTATTAGCTCAACCTTAGAGTAATTACATACATATTACTCTGAGAGCTCACCTATCTCTTTCTTAGTCACTCTATTAGGTTGCACGATATAAAATGGTAATCTAGTAAGACTTATTTATTTTCATCAAATCTCATCATTACTGAAATATATTATAACAAAAAAGTATAGGGAATTGGCAATTGGCGAATCGTTCAAAAATATCCTGACTACGGCGACAACTGACCATAAGTTGTTTACTGTGCAGGACCTGCCACAGTTTATGTAGGTGTGCTATGTGACTTACGTGTAAATATAAATAAACTTACTATATTATGTTCGTATCTTATCTTTTCAATCAAAACAGTTCGTACATGTTGCTATCAAATGCTATGTAGAGTGGTTTTTTTCACAGGCTTGATGAAATTTTTATAACTTATACAAAAAAAATTGAGATGAAAAATAATGATCACATATTTAAAAATAAATCATTATCATTGCAACCAATCACAAATTAACTGACTATTTGCCATAGTTGCCATGCTTGGCAGGCGGTTCGGTATCCGCAGTTTTTATTATTATATCAGGATGTTTCTGCTACGTTTCTCTTGTTTCTCTATTCCGCAAACATATCAATTGTATATTTGCCAATATACAGTTAATGTGAATTTTAATAATTTTCTAGACATTTTCACGTTTAAGTGCGAGTAAAAATGTTAGTGATATAAAAACAACACATATACAACAACATTTGTATTAATAAAACATAGCCTACATCTATACTACAAAATAATTAATAGGATTACTTTTCACACATTCACTATGCGTAAAAAGCAGACAATTTTTTTTTATTTTAAATAATTTTATTTTTTTAATAGTTTAAGAAATGCTATTTTGTACTTAAGAACTAAATTTTAGGATTTTTACGGCAAGTATTATATTAAAATATCACAGTAGATTAGGATGTTTCACATTCTTTGGGGCTCTTTTCTGTTCAGGTTTTTGAGTACTAGTCGTTGTTGGCGATGTTGCGTTTTGTCTCTGGATATCGAGTAGACTACTCAAGAGCGCCATTCCCTGCTCGGCCGTCTGGTAAATGCCCAATAGGAACGACTCTGCGTCGAAGTCAGTAGAATCGTTAGTATCTTCCGAAGCACTGTCTTCTTCTGTTGTAACTCTGTTGAAAGGTAAGAAAGGTTACGTAAAAGATTATGTATTATGCAAAATTTACGTTTGTTAAAACTCACTAGGGAGATTGGTAGCGTTTGTAATGTAGAAAACATGAAAAGTTCGTAATAAGTTTTAGAAGTTTAATAAAAATCAGATCTTTAGGCGACCTGTGCTTTGTGCACACTGTAGTAAATGGTAACCACTATAATATAACCAACCCCTCGAATATGCGATTAGAACTACTTCACATATTCTATGTAATAAATATATTATATATTCTGAAAAAAAAAACCAAGGGGACTAAATAAAGGGTTCTGAAGCCTAATTAGTGGTCTTTAGAATTTAAACTTGAAACTATTTTTCTTAGGTAATGAGGTTTTACTTTTGCATGCCGTAAGCGCAAAGCACGCAGGTATGTTCTGCTAGGGCCTAAAAATTAAGATTCCAACGTTTTGTCACATGAAATCGTATCTAGAAATCATATTATACATATATATGATATAAAAAGCACATTGTCAGAAAGATAAGATTGTTGAAATTATTAATATTTTTTTAAATCGATTAATTGCTATTTGTAAATAAAAAAAAGGGGTTTTAGTGACTTATGGTGTAGAATTATCAAATCCGCATGGCTTCGTAAACTCGATAACTTTTGTAAATATCAATTGTCCAACTCAATCTATTTTTAAAACTCTTCATCTATCACCTGGGAAGCCATTGAATGTAAATATCAGTTTACTTTTGCTATGTTTAGTTATAATTAATTTTTTTCAGCTGAGAAATGTCCAAATATTCGGTGTTTTAACAGCCTTGTATGAATTTATTTTTCACTAAATAGAGACTGCCTCACTCAACCAATTAGTTCAGCGTCAATTGCCGTCGTGAGTGGATACTGTACCGGTTGTTTATAGCGGCTCAAAAAGATCACTGTACAAACACAAAATATTCGAAAAACCAAATTTCATACATACTCGATTATTATAATAATCAGAGATTTTTATTACAATATAAGCACAGAATAAATAATAGTAGTACGTACTAAAAGTAAGGAGGAGTGTTGGACTTTATGGAGTGACCTGAATGATGATGTGATGATCATATGATAATTATGAGTATCGGAAGACACGCCCGATATAAAAAATAATAGATGTTTCTAGACATATATATTCACGTGTTCCTGTATATTATATCCATGCCCAACACCAATTATCTTCGTCTAATAGAAGTGATCGAAACAGCATGTTATAATGTTCCTATATTCAAGCTGACGCGAGCGAAGCCGCGAGTAAAAAGCTAGTATAGAATAAGTGAATATATTATATTTGTAGTACAGATTAGAATATTTTTGTAGGAAAAGAAGGTAAATGAACATTTGTTTTTGTGTTGTTTTGTATGAAAATTTCAGTGATAGGTAAATTATCATAATAATGATTCGTTGTGAAAAGTATATTAAAATAAATATTATTAATATTAGCGGAGTTTTAAACGTTATTTAGGATCGCTATTGTATTGAAAAACTGGCCAATAGGGTAGTTAGAAGGTATATTGTTTAAGAAGTGTCACTGAGTTTTTTTATTGAAACGAGTGTGAATGATTTGGCGAGAAGTGACTATCGCCGCCCATAAACATCTACGACACCAAAGGGCAAGGTATATACTAGTCACCTACTCTTTGATTGGAAGTAAAGACTAGAAATGGGTTGGGGGTGACTCGAACTTTATATAATAACTTTATGTCAATGGGGTCATGGTTGAATAGGGGCAAAAAGTTCTCATTACACTCCTAGGGATCAAAATGACCAAAAACCAATAAATCTAAAATTCGTATTTCGGCTATAACTCCGCCTCCTTCGGAGGTTCTTACACAGTCTTTACTTCCCGCATCCTACTAATTGACGAGAACTAAAGGGATTGAGGTGCGACGCGAATTTTTTATTTATTTCTGCGACATGTTTTCCTTTCCTGCCGAGTAAAAACCAGTATTTAAAATTGCGCTATATGATAATTCACTACCTAGTGTACATTACACACTGTCTAGTGGTTGTAAGCGCGACTACTGGTTATGTGGTCTCAGGTTCGATTCCCGGGTTGGTTTTTATTCCTGCCCTGCGCAGATAGCTTTTTGCAGGTAAATGCAAGCAGTCCAATAAACACACATCCGAAGTGGGCTCGCCAATCCCGCTCGGCAACCTCAGGCCGGCCCTTCACATCGGAATAGTCAATGTGGGTTTTTCTTTGTTTACCGTGTACCATTGTAGTACCGTAGACCATGTCACGAATTTTAAGCTCCTCCCACCGCCACGATAAGTAATTCCATTCGGAAGGGCCCGCGTAGATCTAGGCTCCCATGAGACTGATCGACGTGCCGAAATTTGGTCTTAAGGATATACATATTAGAAGAGATATTACATTCCATATAGATAATTGGCTTACATACTATGTAGTTTAAGCCCAGCGATCTACCTCTCGGCTAAAATGGTTCAATATCCAAAAAGGAATTTTACATCGTACACCAGGCTATTGATATTATTATGACATTGGTAAGATTTTTTATAATCCCATTTTATACAATAAGAATAAATATAATAGTCAAGCAAGCTAGCCATAAGATGTATATAAGCCAATTACTATCTTAAGCTAACTTTATGCAAAGCTATAGGCGATGAGAAAACAAACGATTTTATTTTATTTTATTTATTATTATTAGCGAGCCGTAGGATAGACCGACGGCTCCGTGGCGCATTGACTTAGCAACGAGTTGCATCACTGAGGGCCGTGGGTTCGAATCCTGCATGGAAAAAGTATTTGTAATGGCCTATAAATAAGTGTAAATTGCTCCACTTACAAGAGAAAATCCTTGTGTGGAGGTAACGTTTCAAAAAAAAAATTAAGATGTAGAATCAAATTAGAAAACGCAACTAACTCTTCAGTCTCAGCTGGTGGATCCTCCATCTCCATTCCACTAGCTGTTGACTTAAAGCATCCAATTGGAAATTGAAGTTGTGTTTCTCCAAACAATTTAGGTCCAAGTTCAAGGCAACCACGCAGACCGTCCGCAGTTGGGGCTAAATCGTTAAATTTAGCGCAGACTTGAGCAAACTTCCCGAATACTTGCAGACAGATTGGAGCGGGATTGGCACCTGAAAACCGATAAAGGTTAAAATTACTGTCTATATACGTCTATATACGTGCTTTCTCCCATTTCTGAGAGTTGTATAGGGCAGTTAGTACATTGGGTTTTTCCAGTGCTTGTTGGCGGACTTCATAATATGTCCTCGACACATTTTATTTCTAAGATATGCAGAGTTCCATACGAAGTTTACCTTGACTGATGACCAAAAATTAAACACATACATACATAAATAAAATACCGCCGTTCTCCCAAGGGGTAGGCAGAGATTAGGGACTTTCATTTGGCAAGGCTCTGATACACTTGTCTCGCTTCTTTCACATCCATATACCTACGTATACATGCTCGTGGGTCAAGGGTACTCTTTGACTCATCTTCAATATAATATCACCTTTTTTCCATCTAGGATGTCCTATGCCGACTCTGTCAGTCACTTTTGCAGCATTAATTTGCTTTGTCCCTCTTCCTTCATTCATTCTTTCAGTGTAAAAACCACCTAAATATTTCTTTCTTAATCATAGTCACCACATCATCTTACAAACTACACTTTTCTTTTATCACACAATTTCCCATCCTATCATTCGGCGTCAGTCATAAAATAATTATTGATGACCGCATTTTTACAGAATTTTATTTTAATGCTTCTTATGCTATACCTAACTTTCACTTTTATATATTAAGGCAAGGGATTAACACAACATTGTGAATTGCCTTACGTGCCTTTTGTGACACATTCTGATTTCCCACAATATAGTGAAGAGCCAAATTTATTCCGTTTCCTGCATTATCCGTGTCGCTTTAAATCCTTTTCATGTTTACCATCCCCGCTAAATACATCCTACATATACAAACTCATTCACTTGCTCGAGAGACTCCCCTTTCTAATATTATTTAAATATCGTTTAACTTTCTTCTCTTTCGAAAACCTTCACTTTCGTCTTAATTGCGTTCACTTTCATTTCCTTTTCTTTTAATGACCTGTTCATTAATGTTAACATCGTTTCCCAGTGTCCGACGACGACGCTAATGTGACTTGATCATTGGCGTACAAATGGTATTTGACACCTAACTCACCCATTCTTAATTCCCATTTTTAAACTTTTAAAGTTTCCAAACAACTGTTCATACATAGATTGAACTGCCACGAGGAAGCTACATAACCCTACCTGACACGTTTATGGATGTCAAACCAGTTCGAGTAGACCCCGTTGATCCTGAAACAGACATAAGAGTCCCTATAAAGAGACTTTAATGCCTGTATCAGTCCAGGACTCAACCCAAACAAGTCCAGTATTTGCTATAAAACAAACCTGTTTACTCTATCACGAGCCTATTCCATATCCATAAATGCACAATAAATTTTTGTTTTTTTGACGAAAAACATCTCTGTGATCATGCACATAGAAAAGGCCTGATCTGTCTCTCCAACATGTAAATTTAAATACCCTCAGTTTCTTTCATAACTTTTTAAAACAAAACCTTAGCTTATAATATTGAAACAATATTAAGCAGCCTTCAGATCCATATAACGTGGATCCAGATTCCACGTTAGTCTCTACAGCCCTGCTGTGACCCTTTTCTCTTATATGGTAAATATTATTACAGTTTCGCACTAGTCCCTCGGTACTCGCTCAAGTTCCCAGCATAAATTAAACAAATGTAACAGAAAAAAGGCTTATTTACATGAAATATAATAAACATAATATTATAAATTTTATAACGTTCTTATTCAAACTTAAAACTGAAAAACATTATTTGAAAAGATCACATATTGATCCTCTAAATAAACCTTTTCAGTCTATATAGTTTTCTATTCAAGTATGGGTCTTGATACAGAAAACTCGCTTAATGCGAATAAATAACTTATCTTTATGGGTAATCTCGTTTATGGCTTTCTTAACATTACTGTTTAATATGTCTCTTTTGCTTGAATTTATAGTTATTCATCGATTGTGCTTTCGGATACAAACTCTACAATAGCTTTAATTTATACGTATTCACAAACGTCAGACGAGTTATTCATTCCTTTTACATATCATATTTGCACTAATTTATGTCGACTTTAAAAATAGTAGTATAATACTAAATCCATTCATAGTTACCTTGAATCTTTGAACTGTGTATTAGACTTTTTCCATACGATACCTTCACCGAAAAACCATCTTCTGGAGAAAGGTATTTCATATGAACACATCCTGAAAAAAAAGGTTAAAATATTAATCGGTTATTGAAATTTTTATTAATGGAGTCAAATCAAATATTAAAATTATAAACAATAAATTCATAGTAAGTGTTCGTGCGCCAGGGACATCAAGTCCCTTGTTTGAGTCTCTTGCTACATTAAGTCATCTGCTGCATTATCTACCGATTTCAAAAAGGAGATGGTACTCAATTCGACTGTATGTTTTTTCTTTCCTTTTTTATGTGTGTAACCTCGTAACTTTTTTTGGGTGAACCGATTTCGATTATTCTTTTTTTTTTAAAGCCGGTGCTTTTCATGTGGTCCCATATATATTTGATCAAGATCTGAGCAATAGTTTTTGAGTTAAGTATTCTTTTTAATTTATATAGAAGTCGGTTGTACAAAATTTATTAATTTTAAATTATGCCTTAAGAACTTGTTACTTTTTAACGATCTCTCTTTATCTTAATCAGCCCTCTTAATCAACGTTCTTTAACGTGGTAGACGCCTGCCACTACCATTGTATGTGGAACGGATGGTACGGCTCCACCGGGGAAGGACACTCTCGCGCAGAATGTCATTTAAATGAGGAGCATAATGCTGCTTTATTTTGCATGGTTAGTGACGAGAACCGGAGAATCCTTTATAAGTGTAACGACGCATTCCATCTTAGACCTTAGCGGTGACGACGCATCCGAATTTTTGTTTTGAACCGAGAATAAATTTAGGTATCTATAGACCACAGTATTTACTTACCATCTGTTGGATTATGTGCTCATTAGCCGCTCTTATTTAAAAAAAAAGGTATTTATCTATTTAATATTCTTACCTGGGCCACCGAGATCAACAAAGGTTATGTTGAAGTCCACGCAGCAAATACAAGCCGGACCTTTACACATACAGTTTCGGTTGGGTTGTGTGTTACGCTGCTCTGGTACTTCAATCAGTTTTTTACCATCGTCCCAGTCAAGGAAGTCTACGGGAAAATGTATAAAAAATCTTATTTAATACATTATAACTCTCATCCGATCCTAGCACACCTTAAAATATAAAATTGTAGTTAAATTAATTGTTAAAAGTAACACAAATGTTTGAATTTGTACGAGGATCCAAGGTACTTTCAGTACAGGAATGTTATATTTAATTAAAAGTTACTGATATTATTTAAGTATAATGGACATTTTGTTATTTCTGAATTGAGCGAAAGGGTTTCTAATTGTGCGAAAAAGTTCATGAAAAAAGGGAGAAAATACGAAAAAAAAAGAAGTAAAGTGGTGATGTCTTTCCACCAGTCATTGACCGAGTAAAACATAGATATAATAACTAATCATATGAATAAAATAGAAAATAATTATATGATAGGCTTATTATTATTATTATTACGTTCTTGTATAAGATTTTCGGTAACTTTCATATAAGGCACCTACTTTCACTAATTCAGCGGAGCGTTATAGAACGCCATATGTAGGGTCATTGTTCACTGTTACCTCTGCTATTACAGTAACAGCGCTCAAATTGAAGCTGTAGACAGTACGTTATGTAAGATAACATCCGTCTGTATCTGAACTGGTTTGAAAAATATCAGTTTTTGTTAAGCGGTTTGTAAGTAATCTGACATAATATTATATTTTATAGAACATAGTTTGCAGTTTTACTTTTATATTTTAGTTGACTTCAAAAAGCGATAAAAGCGATGATATCACCTAACAAAGGTGATATCCTCAACAGTTGTGAACCAATTATAATGATTTTTTTTCATTAAATAATAGGTAATTTGACGATGGTCTATATATTTGTATTTTGGAGATGAAAAATAGGGGACGAAGTTTTGATGTACTATTAAGGCGGTTGCGTATACAAAAGAGTCAACAAAATTAAACTGAATAGGGCGAAGGTGGCTCAAGACCTTGCTTTGGAAACCTATTTCTTGGCAGAGGCCTATGTACAGCAGTGGGCTGTAATGATAATGATGATGAAGAAAATGTAAAAGCGGACCTCAAAAACTAAAAAACGGCCAAAATAATTCCCACATAATAGCTTTTGAAGTCGGATCTTTTATTCTCAAATGCACTATTTTGGCCCCAATTAAGTTAATCAATTATATTTACTAAATATAAAGTAATACTTACCTAAAATACTAGCGCTGTGTACGACAGCCAGCACGGCAACGAGGACCGAAATCATCAATTTGCCCGTCATGTCGCTACAGATGTGATGTAAGAGCGTTAAATATTTTTTTAATCTCACGCACGCAATTTATAATTACAAGTTACGCATCAGACGCAGCTGATTTCTTTGTAAGAGGCGGCGTACTTCGCCAGTGGCGATTCAATACTGGTCCTTTCCACGGATCTCGCTCGGGCCGTTTCACTTCCCTCACAATAGAAGGTGAAACTTTAAATAAAGCATAACTCAGTATGGTTATGACATGCATCAGTGAGATGCATTGAGAAAGCTCAACATTTTATGATGATTGAATTAAATCTATTGCAATTTTCGTTCACTGTAATTCGGTTAGAAATAAATGGATAACGCTGACTTCTATCTTGAGTACAAAATATGAAAGTACATAAATATACATAAGTACATACTCGTAAAGATATTTATTCATAGGTTTAGTGTAGTTAAATCAAGCATCAGAGTAGCAGTAGAAAAAGTCATATTGATATGTTTGATTCTAGATCAGTTAAGCGGGAATCGTTAAGTCGTTCCGCGTGGTCTTAAGACCACGGAGTTTCAGGTGCAGGGTCAAATAAAACACAAATTGTTATTTAAAGGTTCTTATTGTATTATGTTCCTACCAGTTATTTTTCTGCATATTGTTAGGTACGGTTAGATTTGGAGTGAGCGCTTCTGGGCTTGCGCGTACACTTGTAGCACTGTATTATATATCGCGCAGCTGATGTTCTTATTATTTGGCAGATGCCGTGGGCAAGAATCATCCAGCTTGTTGTTACATAATTCACTTCTTTTAAATTCAATTTCATATTTTAACTGAAATGCATAGTAGCAGATTTAATATCGGTTTATCGCTATGTATTGGCGGCGTTGGAGTCCACTGACCCATAACATCCCATGTAGTAAGAAGGGACAAAGGGAAATCAAACGTGGAATGGCTGTAAACGTACACAGGGCTGTACGTAGGTATCATGATTATGATGAGATTTACTATTTTGCATTTTAGTATATTATGCCTATATTAACTTTACAGTCTATTGTCTTTTATATTGTTATCTTGTATATATATATATATCTTTATGTATAAAAATTACGTGTCACGTTGTTTGTCCGCGATGGACTCCTGAACTACTGATTTCAATGAAATTTTACACACTGTGTGCATTTTGGTCCAATTTGAGAGATAGGATAGTTTTTATCCCGCTAAACGATCCTCAAATTTTTTTATTGCGATTTTTATGATTTTTATAAGAAGGTTCGTTGGAAAGGGCAGAACAACGTCTGTCTGGCGAGCTAGTATATATATAGCGGTTTAGGAACTATCTAAAGTAATTACAAAAACCTTTTTTTAATAAAATTGTGCTTGAACGACAGTCCGTTTCGTTCTAATAGAAGCTGTTAGTTAAAGTTTAAAGCTAAGTGCATAATGCATTACGGTCCACTACCCCGCAACTGAGGTCAATGAACGATGCTAGCGACGGATCATGTGTAACATACTCCAATTAAAGTTCGTTGAGATACATTTGAATATATTTTTTTTATATTTTCAATCACGAAGGATAATTAATTATTATGAAATATGACATTAGAAATTGGTAAATTTGACAGAATAGAGTACTAATGTATAGATATATAAGAACTTATTTTGGCATCTTCTCAACTTCTAACCTCAAAGGCACCTCTGGTAGGATTGAATCCGGGGGAAATCAGCGAAGCTAAATTTAGGTAATTGCGCAAATATGAGATTTAGTAATATTGTATTTGATAATTATGTATTTGTGCAATTTGCATTTCTGAATGAGTTGATTTCCGCGACTGATTTCCGTTACTTATAGCAAGGGTGTTAATTCTTTCTTTATCTTGAGAAATTTCAGCTAGTGTTTTTACGTTATCCCCTAAGTAGCAGGTGTCTAAAATATTTTTACTTTTTACATATTTTATCTAATCTAATTTTTAACCCTGTAGTTGCGGTCTAAGGTGGCCCAGGTAAGAATATTTATAACCCTATATCGTCAGGTGGGTGTCGTAAGAGGCGGCAGAAGAAAACTTACAGAAGATGGGTAGCATCATTTTCCTGATAGCAAAAAAAAATCTAAAAAAAATTAAAATTATAAAAAATCTCGGGTGCTAAAAATTGAAATGCCCCCAGCTTATAAATGTTCAGCAGTGGACTTTTATAAGCTGTAATGGATGTAATGAATGGATGATTTTGTAATCGTCATTATCAATAGAGCTAAAAGTTCCACTACTGAACATAATCCCTCCCTAAGACTGACATACGAGTAGAAGACGATCCATATACATCCATAGAGTTCCTGTATGTCTTACTTAGTCCTTACTTCATCTATTAGTGAGTTGAATTTGTCACGTAGAAAACTACAGACCTCTGTCTATAGCTCGCAGTGCTGCTTTAAGCTTTTTTTGTACGCCCGGCAAATGCAAAAGGAAATATGATTGAAAGTGCGGAGTTAATAAGTGAATATATAATTTTGGTCTATTTGGATTAACTATACTTATTTAGTTACACGTGCTAATATTACTAAAGCCTCGTCATTCAATCGGCAGGGTGCACTACATGGGAATGAACTTGACGTTTGAAGCTAGGTGGCATATTTTTCTTTACGTAAAATAAATTGCAATGCAGCGGAGAATATAAATGATAAGATCCTGAAAACTGTCCAGCTTCTACAAGACCCGTCGCAAAACCTAAATAACTGCAGAGAGGCGTAAGACGGGATGACGTTATAAATGCTGAAATTCTTCATCACTGCATCGTAGGACGTTTTCAAATTTCTGGACTGAAAGGAAAAGGAACTATATTCACATCAATGGTGAGTACAACACTCACGTTCAATTTTCCGACGATATTGACATTATGGCAGAATCGCTTTTCTTAATGACGTCAATAATGTCTCCCAACGGGTAGGTCATTAAGATGAACATGGTACAAAGGTTATGAATGGCGTCCATATCACACCTAGACTTGTTAAGAACGAAGCTGATGACGAGTATGGTAATATATACCATACTCGTCATCAACTTTGACCGTAATATATACCTAGGACAAATTGCCAGGATAGGTAAATTCAAATTTGACCGAGAAGTCAATCAACGGATCCAATACTGAGTAATGTTTGGAAGATTACACCATATATTCTCGTCACGTATACCCCAAAATTTGTAAAGAAGAGTGTACGACCAGTGCTTGTTCCCAGTGATGACATATTGATATTCATAACGAGGAGATCACGCGATAGGACCAGTGTAACCGGCGTAGCCTTTTTTTATAGAATATGGATGACAAACGAGCACACAGTCCAACTGATGGTAAGTGGTTGCTGTGGCCCGTAGACATCTACATCTATCTTCGTTTGCGAATTAAAATGCAGACGCGACCGGGGTGGTACCACGACCTCACAGAAAACCAGCGTGAAGTAGAGGTTTTCCTCTGCGTTTCGCTTGGTGAGTGCAGGTGGCCGGAGGCCCTTTTTATTGGAAATGAGGCATTCCATCTTAGTCCTCACGGGTGACAACGCATCTACATTTTGATTTGTAATAGAGGATAGATGTAGATGTCTATGGGCCACAGCAACCAGTTACCATCAGGTGGACTGTGTGCTCGTTTGTCACCCTTATCCTATAAAAAAAAAACTTTTCCAGTAGAAATTGTCTCCAGTTCTCTTCACTCAAAATCTGAAACACAGCACCGTTAAGCTGCTATTCTACGCTGGTATTCTGTGAGAGCGTGGTCCTTCTCTGGTTGAGCCGACCCATTCGAGCTACAACTATACTATTAATATAGCTGCAGCAAGGCTCTATCACGTGTAAGATCGAGCTATATGACTGGACCATTGCCACTTCAACTTACTGAGCCTAACGGATCAGTAAGTTGAAGTGGCAATGGTCCTCGAATAACCGACAACTAATGAGGAAGAAAGATTCTCAGGTGGCAACTTCGTACCGGTGAGCGAAGTATATAAGTGTTAGGCGGCCGCCCTCATACTAGATAGAGTGACGACCGGGTAAGAGATGAAGGATATGGACTTTGTGGAACTTCTTGGGGGAGACCTATGTTCAGCGGCGGACTTGTGATAGGCTGTAATGATGATGATGATGACGATGACGATGATATGAATTCATATAGTATTTTTATTTTTATAAACTGATTCTTTGTAAATTAAGAAAACACACACTTGTATGATGCAAAAACACATATCATTGCGCCATATTGTTGTTACATGGTTTTCTAAATGTATGAATAGTGTTGCATGATGCGTAAAACGTCAAACATTATATGATTATTAATCGAACATTGACCCAGACTAACAATTACGTGATGCAGTGTGAATAGGTTTTGAAAAACAAATATGTCCGGACGCGGCATACAACTTTCTCCGTGTAGAAAGTGACCGAACCACTAGTAGCCGATTTCAAGGCGGCTGAGCGCTCGAACAGTGTCGACCTTCATATAGTGCGTTCAATCTATAGTGGTGTACGTTATTTGAATTAAACGAAAAATGCTATTTGTACAAAAAGGTTATTTATTATTAAAGCAAAATTTTTGTATTAAACAAAGTTTACATTATCTATTTCTAGCCAATTTCAACACTGCGCCATACTTCAATTAACATGCATAGCATATGTGGAGGATAGATACGAGTATCATCATCACCACCATTATTGAAACTGATTACAAGCCCTTTTTTAAATAAGCCACCTCTAACCACTTGTATCCATCAACATTGTGGACATCTTATTATCGTCCGGCATCACTTGATTTATCTATAGTGAGCTTGTCGGTACGAAATTACTACTCGAGAAACTTTCTTCTACGACGGTTGATGATTTCTCGATATCAACATGTATATATGGTATAAATAACTATTTCAGTTTACGGACTATGTCGTTTATTCTGGTTGTAGTACACATAACTTCACGACGAATTCTATTACGTCATTGCCGGACTGACATGATCCTTAACTTATTTATAGCTCCGTAAGTAGCTTTTAGTTCCTCATAAGTCCAGTAATGACGGAACATATTCTGGATACATTGGCTTTTATTTCACGATCTTGAGGAATGCCCAACAAGAAGATGTGCCGTAATTTCTCAAACGCTAATGAACCGAGTTAGATCTCCCGATTAATTTTTGGTTAATGTTGGATTTACCTAGTGGGAAAATTTATTCAAGGTTAGCTATACTCTTCCTTATATTTGACCGTGATGTTTGCAACAACAAGCAGCAGTTTAGTGTTGGGAGACACTATACAAGTTATAGCGTATATTGCTAAGGCCTTCTAGTGAATGGAATAAGGTAAGTGATGTATTTTAAGGCCAGATGAAACGTCTTCCAACGGAGCGGTAAAGATAGTGTGAGTAGTAAATACCTAAATATTTTATTTAATATAGAATAAGGGTTACAAACGAGCACACTGCTCACCTGATGGTAAATGGATGTTGTGGCCCATATAAACGTATATCCATCCTCAATTCAGAAGCGTCAGTAGCCTAATGACAGGGCACGCACCGCGAACTCGAAAGGTCGTGGGTTCGAATCCGCTATTTGACTTCTGTCGTGAACCACTTCTAACACAAGCATTTTAAGCTTACCAGAATTTTGTTAAAGGGAATATTATTAATGTTTAATAGCATTACTAGTATTTAAAAAAAAATTAAGTATAAAATGTAGATGAGTTGTCATTTTTGAGGACTAAGATAGAATACCTCGTTATCAGCAAAAAGGATCTCCTGTTTACAACACTCACCATACAAACAACATTAAACTGCTATTTTGCGCTGGCTCCCTTTGAGAGCGTAGTCCTTTTTCTCAGCCTCTATCATAAGCATCAGCATATCTCATAAGTTTTTAGAATATAACGATACAATTAGCAGATTACATTTTTTGTTCTGTCATTTATGTATCACACATATATTTATATACAAATTAACCAAACATGCATACAATTTACTTTTGTAGATACGCTATACAATAACTGTGTACAAAGTTCATAATTAACACACCACTACGTTTTAGTTGTATTGTAGCTGCGATCAACGATGCTATATACAAAGGTTCTAGAACATACTTTAAAAAGAAATGTATGTTAACGTACGATGTGTTCTCGGGTCGAAATTGATTTTACAATATTAAATTATCTTTTCGGCACTTTTTTTGAAAAGACTATATTAAATGAATGACATGGTTGGTATTTTAACTTTTATTATATTTTTATTGTAAATTGTTTCATTCAATAATCTTCAAATAATATAGTAATGTCTATTTCATAATTCAAAAGTACAAACGTAAATTCTTTTTGCAAAGTGTTAAAGTATGAAAATTGTATAATTAACCCATGTAGAGTTGCGTGTCATTTAATTATTCTCAGTGTTTTACAGACTAATATGTAAAGAAAAATATTAATTCGAATCATAGAAGATAATTATTTAATGTTTTTTTGACTATCATGTTATTGTGATTGTGTTTTTTCTTAGCCTTACACTTATTAAGCTATTATTGAACTCGTTCAAACGTTTGACACTGAATTCCACATAGATGATACATATGGGCATGCCTTAATTCGCCTCTCCTTTACAGTTTCTTTGCGAGTGACAGAGAGAATTGATCGATAGTTTTCCTTTCTCGTCGACGGCGTCTTGTCATTTCACATTTCTCTGAGCGCAAGGCATTGGTTATATTATGGTATCAGTACCACTGTAAGGCTGGCGTTGAATACATTTTAGGGCCACTTGTCGTGGTTTCTAATCATTGTAATTTAATCGAACGTCAACTTTCGGACTGGTGTGACTACGAAGAGACTGAGTTCGTCGTGTGGATTTTTTTGTATATCTGATACTGCAGTTTTTACTTGAGGTGGGTGAAATAGTTGTTTTTTTAATAACATAATATTATATTTAAGTAGCAATTTAGTTAGAAAATGCATTCATCAAACTATCCCGCGAGGAGAAAATATTGTGTTAATATTTTTTTGTAATTTGACTTTTATAATATTTATAATAATTTTTGTATAAAAGTGTTTAAGTAGTAGGTAAATTTAATGAGAAAATATTTATGAAACATATTGCAACAAGTATATTTCGTACATACTTTTCTTTTGAATCATTTCTTTTAGGGTGGTGTATTGCTAAGAAAAGATTTCAACGCACTCCTTAATTTATCTTTGCTAATTTGAGAAGCATGAGATGGAAAATATAATTTAAATATTATGATTTTTAAAATAATGAACAAAAAATATAAGTTTTAAAGAAGATTTAATAAAATACTTTAAGTTATTAGCTAGTAATTTATTTTATTGATATTTGTATTACACACAGGATTTAAAAAAAATATATCACATGTTTAGTTTTATACATTGAATGAAAAGGGAAATCATAAATAGAGTGGAAATATGTTTATCGTTTAATTCTTGTAATAGTTGTAATTACACATATTGTATGTTCTTAACAGGTGGGGAGAAGAACTTCAAGATGAAGCTCTCCCTGGTTTTTGAGCTTCTACTTATATTTGTACTTTTGGCGTTCGCCGCCTCTAAAAATATCGGTAAGTTTTTTTAATTATATATTTCAAATGAGCTTTTTAAAATGACTAGTGTCGAATAGTCTATTGGTAAAAGGTAATAGTAAATTTTCTTCACAAGCCCATAAAATTCCACTGCTGGACATGAGCTTCTCCCGTTGTAGTTGTAGGGGTTCAAAACACGGACATGTTTATTAACAGCTTCGTCACGAGCACGTTTTGCCCTCGAGTCCGATTAAGCTTTATAGGACAAACATCACGGAAAAATAAAGAGCGGTCCCCTGAAAAACATTTGATCCATTTTTTACACCAATCAAACATGCATGTATATAAATATGTGTTATTTGTAGTCAGGTATTACTTAACCATGCTTTGCTTAATTTCTATATTTAGTTAATTAATAAATATGGTTATTATAATTGTTTGTATATTTGAATACTAAATCGTGAATTGGCTTTGCATTCCAATCATGCATCGACGTCTTCGCCCTAAAATTCTTCCTTCCTCCGTCTTTTAAGATTTTATTTTATTTTATTTTAGGAAGAAAACAGAATACCAAAAATGGTATCCAAAATAAAAACAACGACGTTAAAATAGAAGATAACAGCATCAATAGATATTGCAAATGTGCGGAACTATTCTGTAATTGTTGCAGAGATTTTCAAGTACCTCTGGTGAATTTGAGTGGTGCAGGTAAAGTTGGTTTCTGGATTTTAATACAAATAAATAATACAAATACAAATAAATTTATTTTAATTTGTATTATTTATGATAAATTATAATATTTATAATAAAGCATGTACACTTACATAGGAAAATGTTACAGAAATTTTAATCCACAGAGGGGAAAAAAACAGTAGCATACAATATTGTTACGGTTTATTTTATTATTTAAAATTTCTATTGACCCCTCACTAGGTCACTTAGAAATTTTTGCAGTATATTTACATTTTACAAAAAGTAAAGCCGGCGTTTACATATAAATCATTATATAATAACATTTTTTTTATTAATAAATATAATGTATAAATTATATTTATCAAATAACATGAATATCGCATAATAATTACGAGCAACAATTATTTGATTGTGTAAAATTTAAAATTTTTGGTCCAAATTAACAAAAGTATATGATTAGTTTTACAACTTTAATTACTTTTTTAATCTAATGTATAACTGTATATAATGTTATAATAAATATATTTTAAAAGTATATTAAATTTTCAGGATGTGCAACGCTAATGTATCTGAACGACGATAAGATGTCTATATCTTTAAGTTTTGGACGGAAAGTAATTACTAACCGCACATTGTCAAGTATGTATTTTTAAATATTTATTCTATATATATGCTTGCGTACCTGTGAATGTGCCTGATGAAGATGTCTGAGAAATGATTAATTTATAAAATTTCCTTTAATAATAACCGTTGAATCGAGCAATAAGCCTTACAAAACATAAAAAAATTTCATTTTTATCTCCTTTTTAATAAAAGTTCAAATCGCCTAGTGTGTAAAGACATATAAAGAATATGCACAGTTCTTTAAGGGAACCTTCCCTAAGAATTACCACAAAGTCCGTCGAAATGACCGTCATGAGCAATCTGCGACTATCAACTGTTTCATCACGTTCTTCTGTTGATATTCTCGTTACTGATTTTATTACGCAGAAAAATTCCGAGCATTTCCCTTGCCATCGCTCGCTGACTGACTATCTGAACGCAGTATCCGAGATGGATTATTCGGTTGACCTCTTGGTCGAACCTGGACTCATTTAATCGTACGTTTTCTCCCAAGTGCACATACTCAAAGCTTACTGTGTAGTAGCGGTGTAGAAATATCCACTACCTATATTATCCCGTGGGTGTCGTAAGAGGCGCAGAGGAATATAAAAAAAGTGATGAGCACTAACCGCTTCCTGATAATAACTCAAAATGACAAAAAACTGCGGTCATTAACCCGCATGCAAAACGTGGTAACCATGACAGATAGACATCCCTTCTATGAGACAATCGATGGGGACATTTATATAGGACATTTATTATATACATACTCTACACACATATATATATATATATATATATATATATATATATATATATATACACATACATATATACATACTCGTCAACAACTTCGAGCGTAACCAACAATTACCGGTATAGGTATAGTATGGACGTTGGACATACAGACCGTCATCCGAGATATCATCGGAATTAATAAGTTACTAAAAAAATTACTGGTATTAATTTAAATTATTAATATGTTCATATTTAATTTTATTTAACACACTAAACATTTAGAGAATATAAACTAAGTAAGAAATTTTAAGCACCATTTCTTATATAATAATTTTAAGAAACTAATCTGAATACAACCTTAACTTTGAATTTCTTGTCTGCAGGTCGCAAATCAAGCCCAGTTTGTATGCCTCTTCCTGGAGGAATATCCAAATTTTGTGGACGAGTTTATAATATTGCAAAATCTGGCGAAGAATTCAGAGCTTGTCTTGGCTTAGAGCTGCAATCTAAAAATACGATAGAAGCCGCCCTTAGAGTGTCTTGTTTTAAATTTGGGTCACGGGGTGTTAGTTCTGAACCAGCTGATCCGTTACCGTTGGTACCTCAAGATGAAAAGAATCCTGATGATGACGAAGAAGATTATGAAGATGACGAAGACGACGATGATGATGACGATTTTGGGCTCAGTGCTGATGATGATTATGAAGGAATAGCTGACGACGACGATGATGATGATGGTTAGTATTATCATTAGTTACGAATAATTAAAAAGTCATTCAGGAAAGAGTATACATATCAGTAAAAACAAATTATCATAAGTAATACACTTATGATAATTTGTTGTGCATATTTCTTAAAACATAATATGCAAAATTTACTTGGTAAAACCATCCTTATTCAAAGTTTTGAAATAGCAATGTGTTTATTGTTTGGTCCAAAATACATAATAAAGCATGGAAAAAAATGAACTTATTTGTAACTACACTGCACTGACAATACAACACACATTGACAATACAATAGTTTAGTACGTGGTAGAACTACGCTGCAGCTATAATATAGCTATTATCGTTATAGTACGAATGCTTCGGCTCAACCGGGGAAGGACTACGCTCGCACAGAATACTGGCATAAAATGGCAGCTTAACGCTGCTGTGTTTCGTATGGTAAGTGTAGAGACCCGGAGACTTGTTTTCACCGAAAACAAGGCATTTCATCTTAGTCTTTAAGGGTGACAATGCATCAGCGTTTTGATTCATAATTGAAGACAGATGAAAATGTCTATGGGCCACAACATCCACTTACCATCAAGTGGACTGTGTTTTTGTATGTAACCCTAATTCCATAAAAAGAAACAATATATACATATCATATAGTGTAATATTAAAATAGTTAAAAATATAATATAATAAAATAGTTTTACAACGGTATAAAGTTGGATATAATTTTTTTGTGTGACAGTGTACAGATATTGTACCATTTGATGCTTTGACGACAAGAATTAAAGCTGCATGAAAAGAGATAGAGAGGACAAAATATTTAAAAAAATATGCAATTTCAAATATTTATATTCTAGTATTGTCAGAACATCAGAATAATCAGACTATAAATAGATAAAATGTATCCAAAATATAATAAGTAGAATGTATGTAATATCCTAATTCTTAAATATTTATTTTAGGAGAGCTTGATGCTGTCAATGATGTTGGAGGTGCCGACTACACAGGTTTCAGTCTTTTAGGAGAAGATTTGCTTGGAGACCTATTTGGCTCAGGTGGTAAAAAATCAAACAAAAATAAAAATAAACAAGCTCCAATTGTACCTTCATCTTCAACAACAAGGCGCCCACGACCTACACGTCGACCAACAAGGAGACCAGCTACAAGATTTACAACCGTAAGACCTTTTGCGACTAGAACAACTACAGTTAGAGTTCGCCCTGTGACTCAACGAACGCGGCGACCAACAATACGACCAATTGGACGTCCTTCTAGAAGACCTCCTTCATCTACATCAGTTGAATCTTCAACGATTTCTTCAACACCAGTAGCACTTTTGGATTCTCATACACCTACCAAAATTGTGGAGAATGAAACAATTGTTGATACAATAAACCAAGAAACAGTTTCCAATATTGACACTATTTCACCAATTAAGTCTTTTACAACAGTGAAGCCTGTTACCACCTTCGAAGATCCTAGCCTTGAAATGTCAGTAGCTCATATTACTGGCCAGCTTGCAGCTATGCCCATTACTTCAGTTTTACCTGATGAAAAAGAATCAAATTCTAAAATAACAGCTCATACTGAAGTTAATTATGAAAAAATTGAAACGGTGACACCAAATAAGCTATATACGACATCGCTTAAGCCAGCGGAAAGTGTTAATGATGATATGATCCAAATTGTACAAAATCTTGATTCACAATCTGAAGAAGTCGTAACTGAAAAAGGTTTTTCTAACCCTGAAGAGACACGATCATATGGCATGAACCACGAAAATTCGTTTTTAAATAACTATTATGAAGGTCTTACACTATCGAAAAAGAAACATAAAGGTGGTGATTTTCAACTAGATGATCTTGATATTTTGGATCTTACTAAAATTGGAGAAAGCATAGGTCAACAACTGGCTATTTTTGGAAGAAATAAAAGACAAAATAATAACAAAAATTTAAAACATGGTAAAGATTCAGAAAACAACAACGATGATGATGACATTTTTGGAGATTTTTCGGAAACCATAAGCTTAAGCGATCGTGGGGATAATAGAAATAGAAAAGATAGAAGGAGGCAAAATAAAATGATGCGAGGAGAATGGTCTTAATCACTGTTATAGAAGACTTTGTAGGTTAAGTTAGAAAAAGTCATTATTTATTTTTTATAGCTATATTTAAAATTTTGTACATAGAAAATTAATGTAAATGTTATTTATTATTGAAATATAAACAATATTGTGTAATTATAAGTCTTTTCATGATTCCCGTATGATAATGAGTTAGTTTGATAAATTAAGTAAAATTTATAAAATGTGATTAATTATAATTTATTCAAATTATAGCTTTAGGGAGGTTTTTTATTATCATATGACTATATATTAAATTAAAAATAAATCTTATGTCTCCATCATTCACTGCTATCACTGCTGTCTAATACGTACTTATGGATGTGTTCCTTATTAAACGCTTTATTAGCTCGACCTGAGTCCTATGTAAGTGTAATGAAATTTCGTAATTCGGCTTTTACCCCCTTCCAGACGTCTGAATGAACTCAAATTTTGGAGACGTATAAGTAAAACCGATGACAATACAATATTTTTATGACTGATTACTCTTTTCTGAGTATCAAATAAATTATTAAATGAAAATTTTAATTTATCGCTAATAATATATTTTATTGCTGAACTTTCTTTAATTTCCACTAGCCCACTCTAGTTTTGAGCGAAGTTATATTGCTTTTTAGTCAGTAAATTAGGTGGGTTTATAAGAGAAGATATAATAAATTCATTCAATAAAGTCAGGTAAGAATACCTGTGAAACAAAGAAAACATTTTATAAAACAAAACTAAAAATGTTGCATATTTTGCCTTTGTTATTATTTTTTTCTTTTTATTTGTTTTTCTTTTCAAAAATTATTAATTAATTAATTCATTAAATCCCATCCAGTGGACTTTCACTCTGCTAGACATAGGCCTTCCCACATATATTGCCATAGCCAAGCATAGCAAGGATTAGAAACTGCAGCTTTTTATTGTTATCAGAAAGATGCTGCTGCCCATCTTCTCTTTCAGTTCCACCTGTGACTTCTTACGGTACCCATGGGATGATATGGGGTAGTTAATTCTCTTACGTTGTTGCGACATGGCAATAAGTAATTGATACAAATTGAAAGCATTATTTTTATATCAATTTGGGGGAATTAGGTTGTTCAACTTCTTCTCAAAATGCCAACCTCACCTCTTCAAGGTTCACGCCATCAATTAATGAACGAAGCTTCGACGACCGAGGAGGAGGTGTGTTCAGGTATGCTTTGTGTATATGTATCCATTCGAAAATATTGTAACAAAACATTTAAAAGTCAAACAAAAACAAAAATAATATTGTTAGAAGGACAATGAAAGGGCTTCGATTCAGCATGTGTTGCAGAGAATCTGCAACGCTGTTATTTTGTCAGCACCCGTTATTAATAATACTACAATTATTATCATTACGGACGAATCATATAGTGAATAAGAGTTTAGATTTTTCCTATTGAAGGTCGAAACCATAAAATGGCTGACAAAGAAGAAGTTATACATTTCAATAAAACTATGACTTCACCTAACTTCATTCTATTAAATGGGGTGTGAGTTGGTACTGACATAAATAGTTATCATTTTTTTCTAGCAAAATACGTAAGTAACTTCTGATACTTAAAACTTAAATTCTTGGGATTAATGCTTGAAATTGTTGAGAAATATAATAAAGAAAGTAAACATTCATTAATATTAAAATAATTACATAATTTCAAAAGAGAAACTCATAAACAGTCAAGTAATATCTGTCCTTTTCCAGGATCATTACATTCATGTCTCATCGTTAGCATTCAAATTTCACTTTCTCCTCTCGATGCATTTAAATTGGAAACTTGTTTGTTGTGAACATTGGCCGTGCAGCTAAAATAAGCATCAAACATTTTTACTGGTCAGCGGTTAAATAGTGGGAGGTGACTTACTACGCCTACAATTACAACTGGAAAGTCAAGCGTAACTGTTGTTAATTGTATTAAAACGTAATAATGGCTTCAATTATTTGCTTTAAACTATTAGTAATGTTATATCTTATAAATTTGTGTTCTGCTGGTATTGGTGCGTAATTATTACGGACATTCATTTAAGATATTAGAAAAATATATTTAATTTTAAATTGATATTAACGTAATTTATGTAATATATTTATTTATATTTTAGGTGATGTTATCGTTTCAAAAGACAGAGAATATGAAGTCATACATTTTAAAGTTCCCAATGCTATTTGGAAGCAAGCGTTAGATCCCACACCTATTCTGAAATCACCAGTTACTATAGTTTTGCCCATACATGTACCTCAGGATGATGACAATGAAGTTTTAGAGGAAGAAGTAGAAGATGAAATTCAAGAAACAGTTGAAGATGTTACACCAGCTAATGTTAACGATGAGGTGGTTATTCAAGATGTAACACAAAATCCAGTCACAACAATTTCTTCTGTAAGTCAAGGACCTATTGAAGAGAACGTAGTTAACGACACACCCGGCGAACAAGTTAATGGTCAAGTTGTAAGATTTCCTTGTAATTGCGTTAAACGACAATGTGGGTGCTGTACAGGATCGATATTAGAAAGATTTAGCATGAAGGCATGTGGTAATATTACATTTGTACCCGAAGATTTTATTTTTGACGTTAAATTAAGCGTCAATAATAATACTGTTGTTCGACGTAGAGTTTCAGGTATATTTTTTATTTTAGCTATTTATTTATAAACGCATGCGCATTCTCCTTTTCCCCTAAAAGTATTTTTTCCTTTAAAAGTAAAAGTAAAGTAAAAATTAACAAGAATAATATTTAAATAAGTTATTCTATTATTTATTATATAAACATAAACAACGTTAATATTTTAAATAATACACATTTCAGCAAGTGACCCACCTCCTATTTGTTTTAATCCGAGAAGAGCACCTTTTGTACGTGTTTGCGCAGAAATTTCTGATATTCGTGTCAGAAACGGAAATGCATTTGCGTGTATGGACATAAATGCGGACATTGCTGGTTTTCCTATTTACTCGGCTTCATTTAGATGTTTTGGGTAAGAATTAAAAAAAAATCTTGATTTTTTTATTACTTAAGCGAATATTTATACCATACTTATTTTGTGATTACATGTTTCTTCATTAGTGTATAACTTATTACAGAGCTCTTGTCTTGTTACATCAACACGAGGCCAATTGCATATCTATTATTTCTAGAATACGACAATTAAATATTTCTTAAAATATTTGTCTATACTCAACACACTTTTCAAGCGAATTTCTGGTCAGTTCAGTTCAGCAGTTCAGCGTTTTTGTGTGAATAGCCGAACATCGTCCAATAATAAGTAGAGTGCATATTAGTGTACTACTATGACTATAAAAAATGGATATATTTTCACCTTAAATTCTTCATTTCTTATTTATCCATATCTTTGCGTATATAAATTTAAATCTTATATCATAATAAAACTAGTGTAAGTTTTATTTAAGTCCACATTTAATGCTTTCAATAACATAAAATATGCATTTCTTTTTCATTTAAGTGGGATTCGAATCTTACTGATATACTACTTACAACTCAATTTTCAAACACATCTGGAGATATTGTCGAAAATTAATGTTTAATTAAACGTTTCGACCGATTATGATAAAATTTTTGTGTGTATTTGAATAAGTCCCTAGATGGCTTAGAACCGGTATACCCATTGGTACCCATTAGGTGGCGCTGTTGTCGAGATCTATATATCACCCATGCGAAGTTGGGGCGGATCGCTAGTCTAAGATAGAAATTTAAATGATCTGAATATATAAGTGTTAGTTTTTATTAAAAAAGAAAAAGTTACACTTGGCAAAATAATATATACCTATATTTGATGTTTTGACGTTTTTAAGAGCTAAAGAAGCCTAGGAAGAAGTTTAGGCTATACTACCTTCTACTACTATAGACACTTTTTAAATAGCACTAAACCTATTTATTTGTAGAAAAGACAGACGAAATTTAGCCTGTTTTTTTTTGCAGCTAGAAAAAAAATTGCATTGCTATTTATATAAGCAAACAAAGATTCTATTCTCTGATACTTCATATAGGTTAAAAAGCAATTATTTAAACCTGACATTACTATAATAATTGAACTCTCGGAATTTCTTTTTACTTATAATATTATATAATATTGTTTGTAGATTTGGAAAATCCGGTGTGCAAACAGGATTAAAGCCTAAACCTATATCATCCGGTCCAAAGCCTGTTAATTTATTTGGCAATGGAAATAATGAAGATAGTGGTGGATTTTTGGAAAATGCTGCTGGAACACTGTTAGGTAACGGAAATAGTGGAGGTCTGTTTGGAAGACCATATGATGACGGGCCGCTTGATGGCATTGGCGATGCACTGGGAGAATTATTTGAATAAGAGATGAATGCTTCTGCATCAAATGTTATAACAATTTGTAAATAATTACTAATAATTAAGATATATTTTATTTATTGTCATAAATTAATAAAACATTTACTGAAGTTTCTCTATTTATTTATATTAATGCCTTATGTGGAATGGATATAAAAACTACTAGTTGTATCCATATTGTATTATACAAAGACATCAGAAAAGTCTTGTTAGAAGAAAACAAATATTTAGCCGTTAAGCCATTTAATGAAATTTAGCTGGCAACAGTTTCTTATATCATAATAATGTGTATTTATAACGGATAAGGCCTATAAAAAGGAGTGGTTGATGTAAACATCGCATGTATATCGTAGTCATCGCGCCGCGCGCTTTATTCTTTCGACCAACTGTTTTGACCGTTTTAACATAAAAATAAAATACAGAAAGTGTTACGACAATGAAACTGATAGAAGATCGAGATGCTTACAACTAATTGTAGTTGATTATGTGAAAGTATTTTCTATATAGAGAATAGAACCGGTTCCATTCATTCAATCGTCGCGCGTAGTTTTATACTCACATATAGAGTGATAGGCTTTTGTTACACTAAGTCAGTGCTATTTACAATCTAGAGCTGCATCAGAACATACCACCAAGTGGGATTGTAGATTGCCATATAATAAGTAAAAAAAATGATAAAAGAAGCATTCAAAATAATGCCAAAAATTGAGTATTTGATAATAGTAACATACTTTCTTCTTGGATCTGAAGGAAAGCAAATAGGTGAGTCTATTTGAAACTTATATGAGTACCTTTACTGGTAACTAAATATTTTAAAAGAAAAATAAATATATATATATATATATATATATATATATATATATATATATATATATATATATATATATATATATATATAAACACAAAAAAAATTCCAGGAGATTCTATGAAAAACGCAACACATTCAAATGAATTAAAAGGTTTGGAGGTACCAGAAAGTCAACTTTTAATAAGCCGCTTCAACTTAAAAAAATTAGCGATAGCAGATCAATACTCAAGACAAAATCAAGAATCGACAGAAGAAGATACTATTCTAAGAAGACCCTGTTTATGCTCCTTGGGCGTATGTAAATGTTGCACAGGATTAATTTTAGATTTGTTTAACCAAAAAGCTTGCATGAAAATTACTTATCATCCGGGTGATTTTGCCTTTGATGTAGCGATGTCAATGAATGACAGAGTCCTTTATGAAAATTCTTTGTCAGGTATGTTTTATATTTTTGTAAGTTAATAATATTAGCTTAATTTTATAATTTTATAAAAATTACAGGAAAAAACCCTCGGCCCGTATGCATAAGTCCGCCGAGAATGCCTAATTTGAAAGTCTGTGCGAGATTTTATAACATATTTTTTCCCGGAAGGAACTTTCATTTTTGTTTAGCAATGAACGGTCAATGGCGTTCTGTTGAACTTTTCAATCTTGCGTTTGATTGCTTAAGGTACCTATTTATGATGGATTTGTTAGATTTTATTTATTTTATGATACCAATATAATTCTAAATATTTTTATTTTTCATTAGGATGGGTGCAAACGGCATCGCGATGGTAAAGCCTGATGAAGGTGGGGGGCTTCCAATACCTAATCCACATGGTGGTGTTGACGCTGTTATTGACGCTGGCGAAGACGATATTGAAGAGTATGATGACAGCTTAGTTCGATCGCTATTCGACGTTTTGGAAGATTAGGATATTTTTCACATGAATAAAAATAAGATGGTATCAGTTTTAAAGTGAAAAAATTGAATGAAAAAAAAAGAAAGACAAAAAAGAAAAAATGATTAAATTTAAATTATTATATTAAAAAACACAAGTTAGAATATTCTCCTTGATGATGATATCAAATTTGTGCCATTGTTTTAAACTATAAGTTTAGTAAAAATGTCTTGAGGGCTGTAAGTCATTGTCTTTGTTGTAAGTCCCAATCTTTTAATCATATTTATTGTTATAAATAAAAAGACATATATGTTAAAACTAAACTTGCATTTCACTGAACTGCATAGCTCGAAAGTATATATATAACCCAACACATGAAGATGGATATTTAATGACGCTCAGCTCAAGTGGTACTCTGTTGGGGTCGATTCGCAGGAGTTTCTCTAGAAAGTACCGCAAGACTGTAGCGCTATAACACGACATATCTTGCATACAAATAGTTAAAGTCAAACCTTTAACAGTTTAGTGTTAACTATTATATCAATGTGTTGTCATTTGAATGTTGTCTCTTGAGACAGTAACAATTTCACATTGATTTTTTAAGTTACAGTTTAACAAAATGAAAGCAAAAGTGACTACAGTGTTCTATTTGTTATTTTGCACGACTGTTATTGCAGGTGAGGTCAACATTTTGTAAGATAATTTAAATATATTTTGTTATTGATATAACATTACCTATTATAAGAAAAAAATCTAAAATTAGAATTACAGTAAACATTCAGATTGTAGTCGATGATGGTTTTTTACCATTTACTATCTGGTGGAATATTATGTTACAATGTTTCATATAAAAATGAAAGTTTAATAACTTAATAACCATCCCGTCTACCGTAGACATAAAATAACTAGGCCGGCAACAGGGAAGAGTATCAAAGGTGAAGACATCTAATAATCTAAAAATCTGTAATCGCCGATCTGCCTGCTAAGCTTGGCGATTATGGAAAGTCTTACTTACATCGATATATATGTACTACGCACTAGATTTCGCATTCCGAACATACACTATGTTCAACTGAACTGTACTGCAGTCCGTACAGTGTGTCATTTAGTGTAGTTTCAATATACTAGTTAGTCTGTGGTGGCGCAACTGCGTATGCGTGAATCTACTATCACCCGCGTATGCGCCAAGACATATAGTAGTGCACATTTTTTGTTTAGAATGGCTTCTATAGTACGTAGTACATATAACTCAATGCCTACTTATAAAAGGAGGGCCACATGACAAGCAGTAGATTTTACTGAGCTGGTGAGAAACAAGAAACTACAAAATGCTAATAACAATTTTTATGATTTCCAGGGACAATATTCAATCAAAATGAGATCAAAACGGAAAATAAAAAACGAGACAATGCAATTGATGTATCAGATTTTTCAATCTATTACAATGTCCATACAAATGAGGTAAAATTAATATATATATTTTTTGATATTTCTATGTCTTTTGACTCGGTTGGGCAGCGTTCGGAAAATTACGGCACATCTTCTCGTCAGGTATACCTCAAAACCTGAAAACGAGACTGTACAACCAGTGCGTGTTGCCAGTGATGACATATGGAACTGAGACGTGGTCCTTCACTGCTGGCCGTAAGAGGAAGCTCAAGGTCGCTCAGCGAGCTATGGAGAGGGCTATGCTCGGGGTTTCTCCGCGTGATAAACTTAGAAATGAGGATATCCGCAATAGAACCAGAATAACCGACATAGCCCAACGGATTAGTAAGCTGAAGTGGCAGTGGGCCGGCCATATAGCTCGAAGAACCGACAACCGATGGGAAAGAAAAGTTCTCGAGTGGCAGCCTCGTACTGGTAGGTGAAGAGTAGGGCGACCCCCCACGACCTGGTAAGACATGCAGGAAGTCGATGGATGCAGGTGCTTTCTATGTCTTTTGATATTACTCCGGTCTGCTACTAAGAGTTTCTTAAATACGAACAAATAAAATTATTTTTTATGTATAAGAAAATCTGGAGTCGCGGGAAAAAGAGTGTTCGTATGGCTATGCACCACTCGCATTACCCTTAAAGAATTTGACGGAGTAGCACCGTTGATGCGGTGGTGGTCGGTCTATGGGGGAATTTGAGTGTAGGTATTGCGAGGCGCTGCCAAAGAATTATAGCCCTGAGATTATTGCATTGTCATCGGTTCCTAATACGTCTCCAAAATTTGTGAAAGTGGGTGTAAGCTGAATTACAAAATACATACACAGGTATAGGTCACGATAACATAAAGCGTCCGTAAAAACTGAATGCTCCAAAGGATGTCGATTTTACATAATATTTTCCTATAACATGTTTTCGAAAATATGAATGATGACAGCGCATGATTTAATCGAGAATCGATTTTTTAGCATCTATTTCAATCGATTTGAAATGTAGAATCGACATTCTTACTAAGTAGTGAAAATTTAATTTTTCAGACAATAAGAAAAATGATGCCAAGGCCGTGGTACAGACCAGGCTGGCGTCTCCGACTTCCATTTACAGGTGGACCATGCGAATGCGAAGGAATGAAATGTACATGCTGTACCGGCATTCGAATTGAATCCTTCGATTTCGATAGGCGCAGTAAGTAACCTTGTATTAAGTTTATATAAAACATATAAAGTAGTGGTAACTAACAGCCTAAAAATATCCAACTGTTGAGCATAGGCATCCACTGATAATACTAAGGATATTATTCTTCCATAGGAGCAGAAAAGAGTCCCCTGCACTGCCCTAAGGCGAGATGGAGGACTTTAAATGTCTCTAAATTTTTATTTAATCTCTCAGAAATTGCAGATTATTCACGATTTTTTTGCCACCAATGAACTATTTCATTAATGCCGTCGGATATCGGACTCGGTTTGCATGCGACTCATGATTTTTAAGGTGTGTGCATCCATCATGCTACTTATTTAAATGTGTATAATGATAATTACTATGATGATGTTGGTGCTACCTTATAATTTTAATTCATTCTTTCAATACAGCCCCGTTATATAATTAAGTTCACTACTGTACATTGGACCCCAAGAACTTCCGCAAAAGACCAACCCGGCTCCATCGGCTTTCTGCATGTCTTACCAGGTTGTCAATAGATCACTTCTCTTACCGGTACGAAGCTGTCACTTGAGAACCTTTATTCCGCTTCGGTTATTGGTTCTTCGAGATAAATGACCGCCTCATTGCAACTGGATATACTTATTTCGAATTATATTCTTTATGCAGAGATACTTCGAGCATAACCCTCTTCATAGCTCGCTGAGAGTTATGTTTAAGTCTTTGTCACACCTATACCAGTAGTTGTTGGGAACACCACGCTTGAATTTGTGGACGAATATGTTTACTTAAGACAAATTGTCCGACTAGGTAAGTTCAACTGTGACCGAGGGATCTATTGACTGATCCTATTCGGTTAGGCAGTGTTCGGGAGGCACATCTTCACGTCATATATACCTCGGGATTCGAAAACAAAAGTGTAGAACCAGTGTGTGTTGCCGGTGATGACGTATAATTAAAGAAGCTTAGAAAATTGATGGATCTTTTTATTGGAAAATTTATTTGACGGATTAATTTCATGGGGCAAAAAAGCAATTAAGCGGCGATGATAACTTTCTGTTGTCATTAATGTCATACAGCTTAACGCAGTTGTGTTTCGTTTGGTGAGTGTAGAGAACCGGAGACCCTTTTTACTGGAAAAGAGGCATCTTAATCCTCACAGGTGACAATGCATCTGCATTTTGATTTGTCAGCGAGGATAGCTGTTCGAGAATATAGGCCACAGCAACCACTTACCATCAGGTGGAGTGTCACCCTTATCCTATCCTGGTATGAAATTCTCAGAAGGCCTGTCTGTGCTTACTCCGCTGGGCAGGTTTCATCAGATCACAGACCAGGTCACTTTACCTTCGTTTCTCTTTCAGCAGGGTAAGACGATAAATGATTTAAATTATTTTGTCGCTTTACATTCTTAAATTTTAAAAGTATTAAAGTAGATTTTAATTTTTACAGCCTGTGTAATATTAAAGTATGAGCCTGGGGATGCCACGATTAATTTAGAAGTTAAAATGAGCAACAACAGCGTTTACGTACAAATGTTTAAAGGTATATTATTTAGTTTTAATTGCTTAATTTAATATGATTATTTTCTTAAACTAATTATAACAAAGTAGCAGCACATTGGTTCCTATAGTGAGTGACGGGAAGCGGACACCACATTTTACAGATAATAAGGTTTTTCATCTAAGTCTTAAGTTGTGATACTGATAACACATTAGGTGTGATCTGCATTTGTATTCGTGATTGATTTGATTTATATCTTATATTATATGAGTCTATGGGCCACATCACTTGAAAGTATATCTTAGCATTCAATTATCTTCAATTCTCTTTTAAAACATTGTCAATATGACGAAGCATAAATGTATTCTATTTGCTGATGACATTTCAATAATCGTGACTTCCAATAAAAAAATTAATAATATGATTTACCACGAAGCTGACATAAATAATACAATAGATACTTTAATTAATTGGGTTGAAATTAATTTAGACAAATCTTTATATATACAATTTAATAAATGCACTAATAATAAATATAATCTTAAATTTAACATTCCAAAAATAAAAGCAGCTAGTCATACGAAATTTTTAGGTTTAATTATAGATGACGATATAAATTGGAAACCACATGTAAACGATGTGTCTATCAAAATAAATAAATTCATGTATGCACTTAAACAAATAAAAAACAACAAACAAAATCCGCTGTCCTGTCCTACCATGCATGCGTAGAATCTTTACTGCGGTATAGTCTTATAATGTGGGGCAACAGCACTGATCAAAATAAAGCATTTGTTGCGCAATAAAAATGCATTAGAGCTATATGTGGGCTAAAACCGAATGAATCGTGTCAACCTGTCTTTGAAATACCACTACCATCACTTTACATCTATGAAGTATGTATGTTTGTACAGAAGCACAAAACGTTGTTTACAACGATAGATGATGAAAAGTTGTTTATTTATGTGTGTTCACTTAGGTATATAATAAGATACCTAATCACTTAAAAATATTAAATACAAGATCATTTAAATTAAAACTATATCAGTGGCTAAATAATTGTAATTTCTATAGTGTTAAGGATTTTTGTAGCCAAATATATTAATGTAAAAAAAATTTGCAAGCTATGAATAACCGTAGCAAAACATGCTGATCTGAAACGTTCTGTAAAATCTATTATTTACCATGTTTTATGCAAATAAAATATTATTCTTATTATTATTATTATAAAAATAAAATAAACTTACAATATATCTTCAAAACAATATTAAGAAGGCTTTAGATAAGCTAAGTCAGTGTGTTTTAGCATCTTCGGCTACATCTTTACAGCAGGTAGTTTATACGTTATAGAGCCACGCTACAGCTATATTATGGTTGTAGCACGAATAGTTCAACTCGACCGGGGTAGGACCACGCTCTCTCAGAATACCAGCGTAAATTAACAGCTTAATGCTGCTGTATTTCGTATGGTGAGTGTAGAGAACCGGAGACCCTTTTTACTGGAAACGAAGCATTCCATCTTAGTCCTCACGTCAGATGTAGGTGTCTATGGCCTAAAGCTATCACTTACCATCAGGTGGGCTGTGGGCTCATTCGTCACCCTTATTTTATTAAAAAAATGGTAGGATATTAGTCAAGCACTGGCTTAGAATGAATAAAAATATGTATTACCAAATAACTTAAGTACTCCTAGTATTACTTAAATACTCCATTATGAGCATTATGAGTATGAGTATGATTTGATACGTTTAGCTAGTCTATAGAGCATTTGTAACATGGACTTTACGTTGTAATTGACGAATTTATTACGTGGTCGAGTAATGCTGCAGCTATATTAAAGTTGTAGCACGAATGGGTCGGCTCGAACGGGGAGGACCACGCTCACAGAGAATACCAGCGTCAAACAGCGGCTTAACATTTTCAGACACAATAGTAAGACAATAGCTATGAACTATATGTAGTGCACGGGACAGCGAAAGGGTTAATGCTGTTGTGTTTCGTATGATTAATTGGAAACGAGGCATTCCATCTTATTCCTCAAGGGTGACAATGCATCTGACATTTGATTCTCATTCGCGGATAGATGTATATGTCTAAGGGCCATAGCATCCACTTAACATCAGGTGAACTGTGTTTACGCTTGTCACCCTCATTCTATATAGAAAAGTGTTATCAATTAAGAAAATTATTTGATTTAATTGCATACAAAAAAGGATGAAATTAAAGTACCTCTTTAAAAAAGTATTTCTTACGTTTTCGCCTCCAAGTCTATAGTGACATAATTTTTATCTATATTAGGCAGTGTTTGAAAAGCAATCTTAACTATACCTAAAGTTTTAAAAGAAATATTACCTATTTTATTTTCCTATCTTAATTTTAATGTGTTTTTCAATGCAGCGATTAATCCACCGCCTTTCTGCGTGCCTATCCCGATACCATACCTACCACCTGGCCTCGTTGATATGTGTATCAGAATTTTCGATGTCTCTATTATACAACAGAAGTTGCACGTTTGCATGGATATAGACACTAGAATTGGTATGGCACCCGTCTTGGTACGTAGCTATATTCAAATTCATAATACTAACACAGATAATGAAGTTATTATAAATTGTTATCTCAGAACCAATTCAGGACAGGGCTTTCACATTAGGACACAGGACACTTTCACATTAGAAAGGATTGCCGTAACTTGATTTGATCATTGTACTAAGTTTCCCGACTTTCACGCAGTTGCCTGACCTATGTGAAGTTGGCAACTAGTTACACAATAATAAATTTTTACGAATTCCATTCGATTGCACTAGGTTCGTACTGGACTGTACCGCTTTTGAAATCGTTTGTACTTTAAGGGGTTAAGAGACATCGGCATGCAAGAATATGGTCGACAACCTCCTTAAGTATACAAGGACTGTTAGAATGGCATCTTTAAGAGTAGTGTTTGTACCGGATTGTACCGCTACTAGAACTGAAAAAAAAATCTATTTGTAATGGGCGACTTTTTTGCGAATCAAATAGTTAAAAATACATTAATAATTTGCATTATTTTCCCTGCTTTTGGAAAAAAAAACTAAGAAATTCGGTGGTACAAACGGGTGCGAACCACAAAAATGTTGAACTTTAACATCTCGTAGAATAGTTGAATCAATCGAAAACCTAAAAAATGTTTTAAAAGGTGCATCTATCGGTCGAAATCGGCTACAAACGGAGCACTCAGCGGTACAAACGAGTAAAAACGATTGGAAACCGCGCCGCATTCGTAAAACCGAAATATATCTTAATACGGCCGAATGACTTTTGGAATACATTTATGTTGTGTTTTTAACTATTTCATGGAGGTTGGATATCGCGTTGCATTCTTGAAACAGAAGTATATCTAAAAACAGTCGAATGACCTTAAAAATACGTTCATGTTAAGCCTTTTCGGTATATTTCATAGATGTACAAACGTAGTACTCAGCGGAACACACAGTACGGATTCGGTTATCCATCGTTTGTAGGTACCCGTTTGAACCCGTTTTTACCGACGAGTTTATTGTTTGTACTTGTTTGTGCCTTAGAGTAATTTGGTTGTACCCCTATTTTACTGCGAGAAATTCTGACATGTATTTTTCAGCCCTACCTGCTATTTCACGCTAGAAGCGAATTTTACGAGTCTTATTTGGTTTCCCATCGTTTGTACCCATTTGTACCGCTGAGTATATTGTTTGTACTTGTTCGTACCGCTGAGTACTTAGTTTGGACCCCTATCTTACTGCGAGAAACACCGGCAATACATGTATTTTTCAGCCCTACCTGCTATTTCACGGTATAAGAGACTTTGGCGAGTCGGATTCGGTTTCCCATCGTTTGTACCCGTTTGTACTGCCGAGTATGTTGTTTGCACCGTTTGTATCGCCGAGTACCCCGTTTGTACCTCCAAGAAACGGACAGAAAACACTTATCAGGAATGTATTTTCAATTTTATTCGGTTATTTTAAGAGATAGTTAAGTTTGGCGTATGTGCCACGGTTTTTTATACTTAGAACCGCGTGTACAGCAGAGTAATTCGCCAAGTACTTCGTTTGTACCTCTATAATATACAGGAAACGCTTATCATGAATGTATTCTTAAGGTCATTCGGCTGTTTTGAGATACACTTCTGTTTCACGAATGCGACACGATTTCCAATCGTTTGTACCTCCATAAAATAGATAAAAACACTTAACGTAAATGTATTCCAAAGTTAATTCGGCTGTTTTAAGATATATTTCTGTTTTACGAATGCGGCGCGGTTTCCAATCGTATTTACTCATTTGTACTGCTGAGTGCTCTGTTTGTACCCGATTTTGACCGATAGACACACCTTTTAGAACCTTTTTTAGGTTTTCTATTGATTCAACTATTTTACAAGATGATAGAGCTCAACATTCTTGCGGTTCGCACAATTCTTTAGTTTTATTCCAAAAGCAGTGACAATAATGCAAATTATTGATGTATTTTTAACTTTTCGATTCGCAAGAAAATAGTCGCCCATTACAAATGGATTTTTTTTCAGTTCTAGTGGCGGTACAATCCGGTACAAACGCTACTCTTCAAGATGCCATTCTAATAGTCCTTGTATACTTAAGGAGGTTGCCGACCATATTTTCGCATCCCCATGTCTCTTACCCCCTTAAGGTACAAACGATTTCAAAAGCGGTACAATCTGGTACAAACCTAGTGCAATCGAATGGAATTCATAAAAATTTATTATTGTATAACTAGTTGCCAACTTCAACTAGCTGCCTGCTATGTCTGCTGGTCTGTGTATTTATGTCAGGTTTAATTTTAGTTTACCAAGAGATCTTACTGGCATTATCCGCAGTTGTATCTTGCCAGATCCACACGACTATGCGAGATGGGGCGATAGATTCCCTCATACGAGGGAAATGTGAAATTTTAATATCTGATGATTTTGATGCGTTTAGCTTCTTATTATTCTACAAAGTACTTATAAGTTATTTTAAGTTTATAAACTATACTTAATGCACCCAGTGCCAGTGAGTACCCAAAATTGAGTTACGGGATTGTTGAGCAATGTTAAAAATTGTGTAAAATAATGGGGATTGTCTTTTTGAACGTATGATTTTGTACTGCGTTTTCTCCAGTTTTATTGTATTAGCGTTACATCGAAGAGGGGAAAATTATGAAGAGTGAGTGATTTAGTGTTTGTGTTGAATATTGATTTAAATCACTCCTTAAATGATACATTACTCGCTTAGGTTAAAGCTCGTTTAACATTTATAAAAATTGACTAAGATCTTTAATATTTCAGATTTTACATTTTGATTGCATGGATATGGGAATAAATGGCGTTAGTCTATCAAAACCAGGAGACAGTAATAATCCATCAAATACGGTCACTGATATGGACACTATGGATACATTAGAACCGACCCAGGTTAACAGTGATGTTTATGACCCCGTCACCGAGGCGCCTAATTACGTTACACCGAAAGCAATTTTCAAAAATAGTATAAGTTATATCTGATTTATAATTTTATTTTATTTATTGAATAAATTACAAATAGCAAAGTAAGGATTATGAACATTTAATTTTGTCCATGTTTAGTAACTACATATTCAAAATGTTTACTTCACTCGTATGCAGGAAATGAAAATAGACATAATTTATTACAGTAAATGATGTTTGGTTAAAATCTAACTTCAGTGTTTTTAGACATAGGTAACTTTTCTCTTTAATAAAGACTAAGCTGTAATTACAAGTGTAGCTAACACAGAAAAAAGCGTAACTTAGTTTTTTCCCTTTGTGGAGAATCATCATCATCATTACAGCCCTTCACAAGTCCACTGCTGAACATAGGTCTACCCCAAGTTATGCCACAGAGCACGGTCCTGAGCCACCTGCATCCATCGAAATCCTGCATGTCTTACCAGGTCGCCACTCCAACTAATGGGGTGTCGCCCTACACTTTGCCTATCGGTACGAGACTGTCACTCGAGAACCTTTTTCCCCATCGGTTGTCGTTCTTCGAGATACATGGCCGGCCCATTGCAATTTAAGCTTGCTAATCCGTTGGGCTATGTCGGTCACTCTGGTTCTACTGCGGATATTCTCATTTCTAAGTTTATTACGCAATGAAACTCCGAGCATAGCTCTCTCCATAGCTCGCTGAGCGACTCTGAGCGTTCTTATACGGCCAGCAATGAAGGATCACGCCTCAAATCCGATTGTACGATCTCGTTTTCAGGTTTTGAACTATACCTTACGAGACTTTACTCGTAATTTCCCGAACGTTGCCCAGCCGTATTAAGGGTTTATTGTTTATACGTAGTGGAATAATCTACCGGCGTCTGTCTTTCCATCCGATTACAAGCTGGTCGTCTTCAAGGCAAGAAGAATAAGCAATTAAATATACTTTTATGCACCAAGATAGTGTGATTTACTATCTAGGACTTCATCGCCACTTACTACCAGGTGGTATTCTTATCAAGCACTGGCTCGTAATAAGTAAAAAACTACAGACCGTAGCCAAGACAAATTTAAGTAAGTATAACACTCACACATGTAACAAGTCGCTACCCCACCCTTTCCCATTACTTCCTAGTTTCTAGTTTATTAGTACTCACCAAACAGTAACAGGATAGATATAAACATTACCAAGTATTTAGAAAAATCGGTCCTGAACGAACCTTAATGGTACAAAAACTGCGGTTGCCGACTTGCCTGCCCATTGTGGCAACTGTGGAAAACATCCACTCATGGGCAACAACATAAAAAAACTGCTTCCAGTCCCCGACGGCCCGGTATTCCTGGTTATGGTGGCGATCGACCAGCCGTGAGGCTGTTAGACGAGAAATGAAGCCGCAGTTTTCAACAGATATCACAGCATCTAGGCAACTGATCAGACAGATCTCCAAATGCATGCGGCAAGACGTACGGAACTTCAATACAGCTTGTATAGAATAAGTGATTGGGCGGAACCAAGGCTCCAAAGTATTTGCCAGAGATCTGTCTACCGGAAAGAGCCAACTGTTGAAGTTGAAAATTGATTGTGGCAGCGTAATTTCCAGGATAATTTAGGTGAGATTGATAGGTTCTACGGATAGTTATTTAATTACAGTTGACCCGCGGTAATCCGGCAAACGTCAGGAATTAAAAGGAAAGTAAAATTATACGTGATAAAATCCGTAAAAGTGCAGTTATTCAATGTGCAGTGTTCGCATAAATGTAAGAAACCACTACCTACTAAAAGTTGTGGAGGTCCGTGAATGCAGGTGGCACAGGATCGTACTTTGTTGCATTCCTTGAGGGCAGCCAGTGGAGATGGACTGTAATGTGAATAATGTAAGTTATGGTAGATTTTTTCTAAATAAATTCTGCATAAACTTCAGCGTTCTAATTTTTTTTTTACATGAAGCTTGCTATATTTGTAATATCACCCTTCTCTTTCATTGCTTTTGATTTTTCTTTTCTTGTTGATGTGTTCTGGAGAATTTTCATCTTTGTCCTTTGGGGGTGACAACGCATCTGGCGCCTTTATTTGAAGTCGGTTACAGGTATATAAATTCTCTGCATTGGGCACATGTTATCAAGTGGACTGATAACTGGTTTGCTCTCTAAAATTATTTATCTACTACAACTATAGTCGTGATAGCTGAAGGGCTAAGCGCTCGCTGTAACTTTCACAGTACGCGAGTAACCCGGGTTCGACCCCCGCCGGCACCAATGAAATTGTTAAATGCAATTTTAAGTGCCGATTCACCACGTGCTCGGCGGTGAAAAAAAACATCGTGAGGAAACCTGCATCTCTGAGAAATAAAAAAAATGTTTCTCAGATATTTTGTAGTCCGCCAACACGCATTGGGGCAGCGCGGCGGCCACTTTCTTGCCTTATGACCCTTTCAGAAATGAGTGGAGGACTGTCCTTAGCAATGGGACGTATATAGGCTGTAACTTAAACTTTAGCTTTATAACTATAGGGTTAACTTTTGAGGAGAACATGACTGCCAGTGAATTGCTGCTCTATATTAATGTCTGCGTATGTGAACTATTCTGCCCTGATACGGAAGAAGGCGGCTAAGTGCATTTTGTCGATTTTGAGTTTTCAGTACCAGTAAACTAAGTTAAAAATTCTTTATCGGCCAATATTGGAATTATATTTTTACGTTTGATAGTTCCAGAGATAGATTAATCATTTTGAAAAATTTACTTTGCTGTCATACGCTAGAAATCAGTTACTATGCACTGTTACGCAAAAAAATTGATTTTAACGATTTATTTTCTGAGTTTTACTCAGAAAATAAATCGTTAAAATCAATTTTTTAATAATTTTGTATAAAATTATATTTTGTAAAACTAAAGCCGCGTATCGATTACGCGCTCCTGGCGGGCGCGTCTTGAATGACCGCGCCGACCGGTAGGTTTCATGGAACGCGTTTCAAATGTTTGAAGTAAATCAACTAAGCGATCCTGGCGCGTGCGGCAGCTGTACCAGTCATACTTCTTGCCGCCTACTAATTCCAAATAAAAAAAACAGTAAATAAAATAGATTCATCAGATCAGATTTGTCAGAAGATGGAGTATTATAATATGTAATTGAAAACGGTATGGTAGAGCAGAAAATAATTTTTTTTATGTAAATTTGGTAAAAATTTGAATTTGGTTTTATGCAATGGTGGTAAGTGGTGATGCAGCCCTAGATGTTAAATCGCACTGTCTTAGCGTAATAAAAGCGTATTCACTCTTGCCTTGAAGACGCTCAGATTGTATTCGGATGGAAAGATTTTAGTTCTAATGCGTGAAATATCAACAACAACGGGGTGAAGACCCGTCGACCGTCTGGTTGTCCAATGGTGGAATGGAGAGGGAGGAATTAAGGCGTGTAATTCCTGCGCACACTCACTGAAATGCAGGATGCATTTTGGTGAGTGTGCGTAGGATAGAATATCGAGAGACTGGCTACCCTGCGCCTGTGCTCGAGGCTGACAAGATTACTTTCAACCAAATAAAGGTCACCAATAAGCAAATTCAACCCCTAACAACTGAAGGCGGTCAGTGTACTCCAAGGTTACATTCCGGAAAGTAGCAGCCAAGGTGAGCGGGCTCCTTTTAGCGGTGAAAAGACACGCTTGTGTATTGGAGGCATTAAATTATACGAGATTGGCATCGCCCCATTCGAACACTGCCTGTAGTGTGAGATTCACACGCTCAACCATAGCCTCTCTGACTGGATTTAATCCCGAGTAGCCCGGGCACTTAGTTGGTATCCCTTCACAACAGTGCTGTCGTCTGCATACCCATAGATACCAGGAATGAGCAGATCATTTATATACAGCAGGAAAAGAACTGCGGAGAGAACGGACCCCTGAGGAACACCGGCGTTAGTCGGATAAGCAGCCATCGGCGACGACCCGGAGAGACCGTTCACTCAGAAAGTACTTTACCCATTCAATCAGACCACCAGGGATAAGCCGTACGCTGGAAGCTTACCCAAAAGGCTAATGTATATTAGTTGTATAATTTTGTTTGTTGGTGCACTATTTTTTGCCAGAACTACTAAAAGGATTTTCAATCAGTCTAAAGTACCTAGAAATGCTGAATGTTTTGTTTTATGCTATTAATTATTTAGCTGTTCTATTCTATTCTATTTACACTACTTTAACTCATACTACTAATAGAAAATAGCTTTTAGTTTAGGTTCAGAAGAGCGAGACCCAGAGGCGTGAAGTCAGTATAAAAAAAAGTAGCGTTTAGTTTCTTTTTAGTTATTGTAATATTCATATTTTAATTTTTAATTTCTCAATATTCCCGTTAGATGCAATAAAACTAATATTAATATTGTAATCTATAGATTATAAGGAATAAAGCGACATATATTTAATTAAATTTCCCTAAAATTTGTAGTGGGCCCATTCTCCATACAAAATAAAATTAACACATAAGTGTCAATGATTGCCCATCATTATTTAACAGCTTTATCTATTTATCAGTATCTAATACCCCGAAAATTCCTGTTTACACTTGACATAATAGGTAATGAGCGCTGTGCGCGCTCTATAGCATGCTTATAAATATTTTAAGACTAGCTGTTCCCCGCGACTTCGTTCGCGTGTTAGGGTTTTTATGTTTCTGCGCGGAACCCTGATTCTTTTTCTAAAATAAAAGTAGCCTATATTACTCCTTATGAAATCAGCTATCTTCCAGTGAAAGTCCCGTCAAAATCGGTCCAGCCGTTTCGGAGATTACCCGGAACAAACAGACAGACAGACAGACAGACAGACAAAAATTTTAAAAATTGTAGTTTAGTTATAGGTATCGTATTTACTTTCATATGCATTTAGTAAAAAACTGTAATTTTGACATTACAAACAGACACTTCAATTTTATTTATTTGTATGTATAGATTGTGAATAAAATATATCAGTTTAGGCTGTATAAGCTTAGATCTTTTTGCTTGTAAATTAAAAATAACCAGCAATTACTGTCAACGTCAATGTCAATTGTGATTTTGGCGGGAACTTGATCGGCGGTGGCTTGCTGCTCCTCTATTATTGTTTAAATAATGGTTTGAAGTGGACTTTGATATATAAAAGTGGTGCGATTTTGTGTATTAAGTGTCCGCGCATGAGAACTATTAGTGGAAACTGTGAAACAAGTGCTGTGATGGTGATGAATTCTCAAGATAAGCTGTTTGTTTGCATAGGTGCCTTTAGATACCATCGCCAACTGTCATCTGCCTGCTGGCTCAAGTTGCCGTCAAAATCTCCCAAGGGCTGCACAATGTGACGTATCAATATATTGTGAAGTAGTGAACTATGAAGGATAATTACACATGAAGACAAGGCTGTATGGCATAGTTCCTTTGCCTGCTCTCTCGAGCGAGTAATAAAAACAACAACAACAATGTCAATTGTGGTTCGGAAAAAGCGCGGGAAGCTTGAAACGTGATAAGCGCCTTTTTTAAACTAAAATTTTAATTTTGTTTTGTTTAGTTAAAAGGCACTAAACTTTTATTGTTTTATTGTTACTGGGGTTCCTCATCGTGGGGAAACGTAGAAAAAAAGTTGCCGAGAGAAGAAGAAGTCTTCGAAGAAAGGAGGAGGAAAAAGTTGATACCAGTACTTAGCGCAAGTATAAGCCGTACTTTGTATCTGACTACAACAGGAGGTACCCTGAGGACTCTGTCCTCGTTGATTTTGTTGTCTTTGTCGAATCAAATGATGAAAGAAGAACAATCGGCACGCGGGACATGATGTCTCTGTCCACACATATAAAGAGGTTCAATAACGACATTAAATATTTGCAATCTATGAATAAATACAAAATTGGCGTTCATTTTGAAAAGCCCTCTCTAACGATTAATTTTTTAAATAATGTTACATTTCTTAATGAATACAAAATGAAGGCATCTAACCCAGCTGTAGGGACAGAAATAACGGGAGTCATAACTAATGTTAACGACTTACAGGAAAATAATTTAAAGGATAATGAGGAAACATAAGAATGACGCAGGACGCAGTTTGCTGCAGCCGACGGGCACCGTGGCCATCACGTTCGCTTCTAATGTTTTGCCGGACCACGTCGATCTTCATGGATGGCGGTTCGTGGTAAATCAGTATATTCCGCCAGTGAAGCAGTGCTACAACTGTCTGAGGTATGGCCACTTAGCAAAGTGCTGTAAAAATTCTGTGAAATGCTCAATTTGTACTGAAAATCACAGCTACAAATATTGCCAAGTCTCTTCAGATAAAGCGATATGCATACATTGCAAAGGAAACCATCTAAACATTTCTGGACAGTGTCCTGTTAAGAAACAAAAGATATAAGAAAATCAGGCTAAATTACACAAAACCCCGTTTGTAGACCTCTTTAATAAAAAGGAATTCCCCGAATTACACAAAAAAATCCTAATGATGCTCTTATGTCACTGCTAAAGAATGATGACATTATTAATATAATTTTAAATACAGTCATTAAAGTATTAACTCTTAATAAATCAAATGAATAAACCGCCATATCTTCTCAGCTTGTTAAAGATGTTCTCATAGATACAATAAAACCAAAATAGATATTTCATTATTTAACATTTAATATTTTATGGATCAGTTTAACATTTTACAATGGAATACACAGAGTTTAATTAAAAATCGCTTTCAATTTACACAATTTTTATATGTGAACACTATAGATGTTGCTCTCATATGTGAAACTTGGCTTAAACCTAAGCACAATTTTAGAGTAAAAGGTTATAATATTATACGATTAGATTCAGTACATAACATAACAAAATTGGATTTCGTGTTATCAATACATTATCTGATGACTCGTTACAAAATATTGTAGTGTTATGCTAGGTACTTACATATCATTTTACATTATTTCAAATTCATTTTTCCATTCTGTTTCGATTTTCTGCATTCACCTCAAAACTGGATATTTTACATCACCTTTATTTCCATAGGATCCTGTAACGATTTTAAACCATACGAACACAATAACATATCATTTTTACTTCGTAATTTCACACTATCAGCACTTTTAAATTGGTGTCAATGGAGTCTACCTTTTTCGATCTTTTATTTAGTTTTCCGTAACTCTGCAATTTCGGGCTTTGTGCGCGCAGGTGCGCTACCTTTTTTCCTATATCAATAATATCTCATTTTTCACTTAAATCTTGCCGTTTTTCTATTACGAGCCTAAAACCAAAATTCGACATGTTTTGACATCGTTGTTTATCTGGTTGTCATGACAATTATATTCAAATTCGCTACCGGTCTGTTGTTTCTACTTCGATAATTCCACATAAATACTCTTTCCTCTTGGCCATTTACAAAAAATTTGCGTTTAATTTAAATAATTTTTCCGTTCTCTCTAAAAAGGTATAAAAGCCGAACAATCGGTCAAGAAAGGTAGTCTCGCTTCAGTTCTCAAATTCGAAGCATCTCCTAAAGGCCTTATCCCGGGGCCGCACTGCCCCGGGATCCTGCAAGCCTCTGTCCTGCCTGAAGCCGCTGGATCCTACAAGCCTCTGCTCTGCCCGAAGTCGCCGAATCCTGCAAGCCTCTGCTCTGCCTGAAGTCGCCGGATCCTGCAAGCCTCCGTCCCGCCTGAAGTCGCCGGATCCTGCAGGCCTCTGTCCTGCCTGAAGTCGCTGAAGATCCTGCAAGCCCCTGTCTTGCCTGAAGTCGCCGGATCTTGCAAACCTCCGCATTCACCTGAGGTCGTCGCCTAGAGACGCCCACACCTTCACCTACGCTGTGCGTGCTCGCTCCGAAGTCGTCGCCTAGACACGCCCACGCCTTCTCACCTACGCTGTGCGTGCTCGTTCCAGGCGCTGAGAGCACTTACTGTACACCTTGGATCTTCCGGCTCAACTTCAACACTAATCTTTTTTTTATTATCTTTTTTTTTTAAATAATTGTAAATCACGACATCCATCCTCATCTTCATACTCCATTTTGTTATATAAAATTGTAAATATCTTTCAAATTTTAAATATATTATTTGTTTTTGTTCTATTTTTGTTGTTTTGTTGCTGTTAGGTTAGATTCTTTTGTATTGTCGCTTCACGACATTTTGGCGCCCAACGTAAAAGTTCTCTTTCTCTTTTCTTCACCTTTACTGCGCCTTGTACATTCCCTTTTGATTTAATTGCTTTCTCTTTCGTTCTTAACTCTTTATTTATTCATCCTTTTCATAACTTCCAAATTCTAAAACAACACTTCATCTAGTGTTTCAACTTATCTAGATTATATTTAGACCTACATTTAACACTTCACTTACATTCATCACTTTAATATTTTTATTCTAGATAACTTAAAGAGGTATAATTTTTAATTAAATTTTTATTTCTTAAACTTAACTTTACACTTAATTATAACAATGAAAAGGGTTATTAAGTACGAATTCCTTAACAAGGCCGAACTCGAATACGAAGTGAAGATTAGATGTGAGGAACCAGCTAACCCTTTCGGCCCGCTCCAATACAATTGTGCGGGTCACAAAGTCGAGTATAGCTCATTAGTTTTACGTTGGCAGTGGACGGGCCCAGTATTGTACGATTATGCGTGAAGCGAACTTTCACCTCCCGTGCAAATTTTGTCCGACGCGCAGTCTGCGAGCAGGTTTCAACCTGTACACTTCGTGACTGATTGCGCTCCCCGACTTGGCAAAAGTAAGTACCTACTGTTGTTTTATTTTGAAAGTGTAGTAATATACGAGTTATTGATTAGAAAAATAGTTAAACATAGGATGTTTTTGTGATAACAGTGACTATTGGCAAGCAAACGCTTTGGCTTAACGGATTAACGAACTTTAATGACACAATTGTTTCAACGTGGGCCCTACATAACCTGCGTATTTTAAGTTTCTAATGATTATTCATTTTTCGCAGTTTCCGCACTATGTTTCCACTTTTAAACGACGCTGCTATCGAAGAGATGCTTTATGACTCTGGGGACGAGGGCGATGACAACGACGAAATCGATACGGACTACTTTATTGAAGAAAACCCCGAACATTCAAGTTCCTCTTCTTCTGATGAAGGCGAAGAAAATGATGACGATAACATACCTTTGAGTATGCTAGCAGGATGGCAGAAGAAGCCCTTCAATGGCAAACCTCTTCCAGAAGATGCTGTTCGTGACCCAGGAGATATTAAAACCCCATACGAATATTTCGAGCGCTATTTTACTGACGAGCTCATGGAACAGATGGCTTTGACCACAAATCAATATTATATGGCCAATACTGGTATACAAATGAAACCTGTTTGTTCTTTACTAGATATAAAGAAGTTTTTCGGAATACATGCCATTGTTGGGTGTATAAAATTTCCAAGACTGAAGATGATTTGGAACGAAAAATACAGGTACGACCCGATTGCAAATGCAATGTCTATGGAACGGTTTTTCCTTCTCAGGACAAACTTGCATTGTGTAGACGTGACAGCGGTGAATCAGACTGAGGAACAAACCAAAAATAGATTATGGAGGGTGCAGCCTGTCATTGATGCCGTCCGAAAAAGGTGCCTGCAGTTGCCAAGAGATGCTGGTAACTATTCAATCGATGAACAAATGATACCTTTTGAAGGTTGATGCGATTTGAAAGTAGTCGTAAAAAACAAACCTCGTCCAGCAGGATTGAAGAATTTCGTTTTAACTACCTCCAAGGGACAAGTTCTAGACTTCGAAATTTATCAAGGCTCTACTACAAACTTTCCCGATTCGGAGCATTTCGGAGTTGGTGCTGCTGTTGTATTACGCTTGGCCAATACACTCCCAGAAGGCAGTTTTATTTATTTCGATAGGTATTTTTCCTCACTGCCGTTGATGAAAGAGTTAGTTAAAAGAAAAATAGAAGGAACAGGAACTTTGATGGCCAATCGATTTAATACTAAAAAGAAAACGCTCTATGAATTCAAGAAGGATAATAGGATGGCTAGAGGTTGTCAACAGGGAAAACACCTTGAGCGTCATAAAATGGAAGGACAACAAAGGGGTACTCATGGTCTCAACTGCTTTTGGAGCAGAGCCGCGAACCCAGGTGTCAAGATGGGATAAAAAGAGGAAACGGTACATCGAAGTCTCATGTCCAGCCATAGTTAAAAATTACAACACTTTCATGGGTAGTGTTGATGTTTGCGACCAGATGATGGAGGCTTATCGAACATGGCGTAAAACCAGAAAGTGGCCTGTGAAAGTGATCATCCACATGTTTAACCTGGCTATAGTAAATTCTTGGTTCGAGTATCGTGCTGACTGCAAAGCCCAGAATGGAAAATCTAAGGACATCATGGATTTGCTGGCGTTCAGGTTATCTATTAGTGACCACCTTCTAAATGGTCCTCCAAGAAAGAGACTAAGGGAAGATTTGGAATTCGCTGATATGCCTACCTCTTCTAAATACAGAGTGAAGTCTCTTCCCACAGTCGACCGACAGTACGACGGTTTTAATCATTGGCCAGTCTTCGACACTCTGAAGCAGCCTCGTTGCTGTCGTGCTCCTGGCTGCACTAGTCGTAGTCGTTGTCGTTGCTCAAAGTGTGATATTTACTTGTGCCTTAATAAAGACCGCAATTGTTTTTTTTGATTTTCACAACAAAGACTGAATTTAATTAATACTATTATTAAACTTTGAGAAAATTGATCGCATTTCATGTTAAGTTGATCTCATTTAAAGCATTTGTTGATTATTATTACTGTAAAACTAGTACAAAGTTGTGTTTGTGATTTATAATAAATATATTTGTAACTTTCATGTTCAAAAGACCATGAATGAACATGGTCTTTTTTAAGAAAAACGTAAAAAAGGAGGCATTAGGCCCAACTTGATACAACTGTAATACTCACAATAGTACGTGGGAAATGAAGGGCCCAGTATGATACAATTGTGACCTTCACAATTGTACGTAGGAAATGAAGGGCCTAGTTTGATACAATTGTTGGTATATGAATTTTCCAAGATGGCGGCTGAAAATCTGGAAAATTATAGCGTATTCGTAATCTGCGGCCCGAAATTACCTAAGATTCAAGTAAAAAATTACAAATTTCTTAGTAGTTTAAGCGCGGGTCCGAAAGGGCTAATACTGTTTTGCTTTTAAAAAAACAGGTTTTGCGTTTAGTTGCGAATTCTCACCCTGAAGATATTCTGACTTCTCCAATTCCGATCGAGGATGACTTGTCTCAAATTGATTCTACTTTGACCTACCTGGACTGTAAAATTAAAAAATGTTTACAAGGTGAAAACAAATACTTGCGACTAATAGAAACTTTTATTAATCATGTCTTTTACAGATTGGAACGAATAGATACTGACTTATATCCACACTTTAAAGCTATTTTCGATACTTTGATGATGAAATTTGACACTATTACTAAACAATTCGAATCCTTGACTCTACCTTCAACTGAAAATGACTCTCAATCACTTGCCCTCCTGTTGACCCGACTGCCATGGAACTCCCTCTTGTTTCTCAAACTTCTGTTCAGGTCCATACCCCGTATCCTTCACCACCACCTCAATCTTTTTCTCCAAATAACGTCTTCAAAGATCTGAAAAGACACACCTTCAATGGTAAAAGCTGTCCAAGATCCTTTCTTCAAAAACTTGAAGAATACTGCTTAGCTCGTGGCTTGTCCAAAGACTTGTTGATTTCACAAGCGTTCGAAATTTTCACTGACAACGCTCTTCATTGATTCAGATTTAAATATAATCAGAATCCAAACTTAACTTGGAACGAACTTTCTTCCTTGTTAATCAAAGACTTTGGTGGTTTTGATTATGATCATAAACTTTTCGAAGCGATTAGGAATCGAACTCAAGGTCGAGATGAACCTATCGTCATCTATATTTCCATCATGTCTGGAATGTTTTCTCGTCTTTCGAAGAAACTTTCTGAAACAGAACAATTGGAGATATTATTTTGAGGAATATTCGCCCATGTTATTCAGTCTTCGTAGCTCTAAAAGACATTGACTCTATCGACTCTCTTCTGGCTACTTGCCAAAACTATGAAAAATTCCTAGACAGAGACAAACAATTTAAAGAACCAAATGTACAACAAAGTCCTCTTATTTCTGAATTCAACTACAAGCATTCCACTTCAAGTTCAGTTGACTCTCCAAATTCTTCTAATAACTCACGACCTTCTCCTCCCTTCATGAATAAATTCACTTCATCCTACAAATACCCCTCTAGACAAGTTAATAGTCTCTCTCAAACTAAAGCTCCTCAACAAAGCTCTTTTTGTGTTCGCTGTCGTAAACAAGGTCATTCTTTGAACACTTGTACTCAACCACGATTCGTGATTTGTTTCAAATGTGGTCTTAAGGGTTTTAAAACTGCAGATTGCCCTACTTGTTCTCCCAAACCTAATACTAGTTCAAAAAACTAACTGCTGACTTGAAAAGTAACTTAAACTTTGATAATGACGATTGGACTAATTGGATTAAAACAATTCAAAACTTCTTTTCTTGTTACAAAATCTCTTCTACACTCTACTCCAAAGAACAAGATCTTAATCGTCCATTCGTTAATGTCAAAATTTATAACTTAACTTTGTCTGGTTTACTAGATTCTGGCAGTTCAGTAACTATTCTGGGTAATAATTCTCATTTGGAAATTCTTAAACTGGGCTGCAAACTTTTCAAGTCAGATCTTATTACTGTCTCTACTGCTCATAATCAAAAAGTTAATTCCTTGGGTTATTTTGACTTACCTGTTCATTTCAATAATCAAACTCATTTAATTAAAGCTTACGTTTTCCCTGAAATATTTCCTTCGCTAATACTAGGTATTGACTTTTGGAGAAAATTTAATCTTTTACCTAGTGTTTTATCTTTTCTTAACTTTACAGAATCTAAATGCTCTGCTATCGAAACTAAAGATACTAAAGTTTTACCTTATGAGCATTTAACTCCTAATCAAAAGAACATCGCTAATGACATCATCCAACGCTTCAAGACAATTTCTTTTGAAGAAAAAGGTATCCTGGGAAGCACACACTTAATCACCCACAAGATTGACATTGGTGATTCTCTTCCTATCAAACAAAGATGTTACAGACTGTCTCCTGAAAAACAAAAGGCGTTAATTAATGAAGTTGACAAGATGCTGGGATGGAACGTCATTGAACAATGCGAAAGTCCTTGGTTATCTTCAGTTCTCATCACTCCGAAGAAGAATGGTGAATGGCGTTTCTGCGTAGACAGCAGGAAGCTTAACTCAGTTACACGTCGTGATGCTTATAGTCTGCCACTAATAAGCGAAATTTTGGACAACTTGAGGAATGCCAAATACTTATCAAGCATCGACATTGCGAAAGCATTTTGGGAGATTCCCTTGAATCCTGCTGATAAAGATAAAACTGCATTTTATGTAACTGGAAGAGGTATGTTTAGATTCAAGGTAATGCCTTTTGGTCTTTCTAACTCACCTGCAACTCTACAAAGATTAATGGATATGCTTTTTACTCCTGAATTTTAGAACAAGGTATTTTGCTATCTGGATGACATCGTTATTATTAGCGAGACTTTTGATGAACACATATCACTTCTCATGAAAGTTCATGAAAAACTTTCATTTGCTAATCTGACTATTAACTTTGAGAAGAGTCAATTCTTCAGGAAAGAACTGAAATACCTTGGTTTTCTAGTGGACGAGTATGGTCTACGTGCTGATCCAGAGAAAATAAAAGCAATTTTAGAATATCCTGTACCTACCTACTCAGGGATTGTGCGTGAAGATAAGTAAGTAAGTAAGTAAGTACTTGTAGAAAAGAAGTGTGAAGATTCATAGGCACCTGCAGCTGGTTCAGAAGATTCATTCCAAACTTTAGCACTATTGCCTCTCCTCTCAACCAACTAACCTGTTCCGGGAAGAACGGTCCTAAATTTTTATGGAATTCACAAGCTGCAGCTGCTTTCCAGAAACTTAAAGAAGCTTTGGTAACTGCTCCTGTCCTTGCTTGCCCTACCTTCGAACTACCCTTCTCTGTACATTGTGATGCATCAAACTATGGCATAGGAGCAATGCTTACTCAACATCAAGATGACAAAGAAGTCGTGATTGCTTACATGAGTAAAGCACTAAACAAAAATCAACAGAACTACTCAACTACTGAAAGAGAAACATTGGCTGTAATAACTGCGTTAGAACATTGGCGATGTTACCTAGACAATGGTAAAGAATTTACAATATATACTGACCATGCTGCACTTAAATGGTTTCAGAACTTATCGAATCCATCAGGAAGACTTGATCGCTGGACTTTACGCTTATCATGCTTTAACTTTGTCCTGAAACATAAAAAAGGAAAGGATAACGTTGTTCCAGATTTATTATCAAGACATAAGAATCAAGAACGTCCTGATACAAGAGAAATTTCACCTCAAGGCGTACATCCTATTACGATTGAAGAACCACCTGATCGTAAACTTGAGCACTACAGCAAGATTTTTCTCGGATGCTCCAACAACCCAGACGCATATCCCAACTACACTATCAGGGATAACAAACTTTACCGCTGCATTCATTCTCCCGATCGTCTAAACGATGACTTTATTTGGAAAGAAGTTCCACTACCTCAAGATAGACATGCACTTATTGAAGTTAACCATGGTTCCCCTTCAGAACTCCATCTTGGTATCTTCAAGACATTCAAGAAAATATCTTTAAAATACTATTGGCCTGGTATGTTTAAGGACATTGCCAATTTAATCTCGACTTGTGAAACCTGCTTAACCTACAAACACCATAATCATTCTCCCTATGGTCTTATGGGTAAACCTAAACTTTGCTCCAGACCTTTTCAAACTATATCCTTAGATCTTATGGGTACATTGCCTATGACTCGAAGACGAAATCAGTATATTCTAGTAATTAACTGCAATTTTACTAAATATACTATGATTTTTCCCCTTAAACGTGCTACTTCAGCTAATATTATTAATGTTTTGGAAAATTCAGTTTTTCTAGTTCATGGCATTCCCCAAACTATTATAATGGACAACGCTGTTCAATTTCAGTCGCGAGAATTCCACTCATTCTTAAATTCTTATAACGTTCCTTTTATTTTTCACACAGCTTTATATTGTCCTCAGGTTAATCCTACGGAGAAGTTTAATAGTACAATTATTACAGCTCTAGCATCTCTAGTAGGAGACGATCATAGATCCTGGGACAACCATCTTACTAAGATTCAGTACGCAATGAACAGCGCTACAAATGTAGCTACTGGCTTTACTCCAAACTTTTTAGTCTTTGGTAGGGAAACAATACCTTGTGGTTCCTTCTATACTCCAACTCAGAACCTCGAGGAATTGATATTTATGCCTCGTGATATTTACGCGTCTAATGCTGGTCTCCTCTCATCTATCTTTCACAAAGTTCAAACTAAACTTCACATAGCTCACGCTAAAAATAGCGCTCGTTATAATTTTCGCCGGTCTTTTAAAGAATTTAATGTGGGAGATACTGTTTGGCGTAAAAACCATGTTTTAAGCAATGCCGGCGCATAATTTAATGCTAAACTTGCCCCTAAGTTCATCAAGTGCAAAGTGATAGCTAAACTGTCACCACTAGTCTATGTGCTCGAAGACCCTAATGGAGTTAGAGACAAGTGGCACATCAAAGATGTAAAATCATAAATTTTCTTAACTTTTATTAACAGTTAATTTGTATATATGTATAAATATCAGCATCATTCTCACCTTATTATTTTTATGATTATTTTATGATTTTTATTGTTTATGATTATTATTTTATTTAATGTTATTTGCGAACTGCTAAAAATAAGAGGTGACCATACTTCCACCATAATTCAAAGACGGCGTGTTTAAAAGATGTGAATCAAAATATTTACAATAATTAAAAAAATACCAAATACTTACAATAATTTTAAGAATCAAGTATTTAACTTGCTGATAGCCTAAACTCTCATGCAACTTTGTATTTTAATACATTTTCAAAATGTCCACCACGACTCCGTGGCGCAGTGGCTTAGCAATCGAGTTGCAGCGCTAAGGACCGCGGGTTCGAATCCCGCACGGAACAATACTTGTATGGCCTACAAATAATTGTTCCGGGTCTGGATGTTTGTCCCTGGGCAATTTATGTTTGTACACTGTCCCCCACAATACAAGAGAAAATCCTAATGTGGAGGTTAAGCTTTAAAAAAGAAAGAAAATAATTTAGAAAGCAAATCAGTGTCATTTTTCACTATTCTAAAATCGTTAACTCATAGAATTACTATTGTTAGGTCCTTGGCACTTGTTGTCTCACTAAAATAAACTAATGATTTAATACTTCCCCATAAAAAAAAAGTCAAGAGGCATCAAATCAGGTGATCTGGGAGGTCAATGGCCTGGCCGCCGCGACCATTATAAGGTTCTCCAAACTCTGTACTTGTAAAGACTTTAACATACTTGAAATAAGGTTCAATTTTCTTTACTTGTATTGAATGACGGAATTTGTATTAACACAAATAAGGCCGGCCACATACATACGGAATTCCGTTTCGAGATTCCGTTTCGATATTCCGATTCGGAATCCCGAACGCAGCAAGTCCATATAAAATCTATGATCCGCCACACACGTACGGTAGTTTTCCGTTCGATATTTTGCGGGCAAAACGGGATTCCGTTTGTGTGTGGCCGACCGTTCGAAATTCCGAAACGGAATCTCGAAACGGAATTCCGTATGTATATGGCGGGTCTTAAACTGCACTTTTAAAAGTCTTATTGCCTTGAGTGGAAAACTTAAACTGAAATGGACCGTACCATTTCAGTTTGTTTTGACTGTACAGGTTTAGTGTGACTGTAAATTATAATATAATAATAATAATATAATATAAGCTTTTATTCAGACACAAATTTTTTTAACATAATCTTATATTCACGACTCTCGTTAGTCGATGACACCAACAACTTGGTCTGTTTGCCCAACTTTGGCAAAGGCCTCCTCCATTTCTTTCCACGCTGTTCTATTCATCGCTTTCCTAGTCCATGTTTTCCCTGCTGTGGCTTTTATTTCGTCTTCCCACCTTCGAAACTGTCTACCTCGTATCCTTTTTCTATTTCTTGGGTACCAAAATACAATGGTTTTGTTCCATTTCTCAATGCCTCTGATTATATGGCCTGCCCAACCTGTGACTGTAAATTACGTAGTTTCAATTATTTTTGGGATAAAAAAATTACCTATATTAAAAATGATAGAAATCGATTCAGTAAACGATTCTGAACAAACTACTTTCTCAAAGTGCGCTACGTGTTGTATAGAAAATTATGTTACGTGTTGTATAGAAGAACACCCAAATGTATCTAATAAATGGTTACTAATCTCTGATAGCATGAGTGTCTTGAAGTGTCTGAAGTCGAGTCTTTGCTGAACAAAGCCTCGGATTGGGGGCGACTAAATCTAGTCCAGTTTAATCCTCAGAAGACACAAGTTTGCGCGTTTACCGCTAAAAAGAACCCCTTTGTCGTATCTCCTCAGTTTCAAGGCACTCCCCACTCTCCTTCTTGCCTCAGCCAGTATCCTCCAGGAATCCTCGGAGTCGACATATCGAGTGACGTGCAAATCGGCCTCTTAAAAGCCTGGCGTGCTCAGCAGAGCGGGACAGTATTTCATGTCGGCACACCGCCTGCAACTTTACAAGGTGCAGTTTCGGCCTCACATGGAATACTGTTCCCATCTCTGGGCAGGGGCTCCCCAGTGCCAGCTCCTTTCACTTGACCGCATCCAGCGCAGAGCGGCTCGAATCGTCGACGACCGAGTCCTTTCCGATCGGCTCGATTTATTGGCACTGCGAAGAGATGTTGCATCCCTTTGCATTTTCTTTCGCATCTACCATGGGGAGTGCTCTGAGGAATTGTTCGGATTAATTCCAGCCGCCAAATTTCACGAACGCACATCGCGGCGGAACTCCCGATACCATCCACACCATCTGGATGATTGGCGGTCCACTACTGTGCGATTTAGAAGATGTTTTCTTCCTCGCACTACTTCCTTGTGGAATCGATTACCATCAACTATTTTTCCGGACCGATACGACTTAGGGACCTTCAAGAAAAGAGCTTACTCCTTTTTAAAAGGCCGGCAACGCATGCGCAATTCCCTCCCAGGTGTTGCAGTTGTTCGTGGGCGACGGTAGTCACTTACCATCAGGTGAGCCGCATGCTTGTTTGCCCCCTCTCCTATAAAAAAACTTTAGATGCTAAAACGTCTTTCATCATATATGAAATCAAAAGTTTGTGGTGGAAATTGAAAGAAAATAATTTGGAACTAAAAATTTTATGGACTCGGTCACATATTGGACCAAGGTTCAAGGAAATGAAAGCGCAGACCATTTAGTTAAAAATATAGTTACAGCTGATATTGACAGGATAACCGGTGTTGCAATACCATATACAGATTTATATTCAATTTTAAAGCAACAGTTAAAAGAAGAATGAAAATGCAATGGAATGCTGTTTTAGAGGCAGGAAAAGGTCGTTGGTATGCATCAATTAATTCAGAATTAAATATTCCTTAGTTTTCTCGCAACGAGAGATAACATAGCAGAAATATTTATACAATAATGTGCAGACTTAGATTTGGCCACTATCGACTGAACGCTCATCTTTCCAGGATGAGAATAGTAGCATCTGCATCATGCAACTTCTGCGATAGAGAAGCAGATCAGACTGCAGAACATATAATATTGAACTGCCCAGCGTACGCTATAGAAAGATTGCTACTCATTGAAAAACTTATACAAGTTTATGAAAACTCAGAAAGCGTCCCGCGTGCCCTGCAAGATGTTCTTAAGAATACTAAGACATATTTAGCACTTTGCAATTTTATTCATAATACTGTAAAAGAAATATGAAATATGGTATCCCTGTTTTTGAAAATATTGGATTGACAAATCTACATGGATTGAAGCTTACAAAGATTATAATATAAAGAAGACTTGGCATTAGCCTTTACGGTCTTTGAAAATATGAAGAATTAAAGAAAATAAGACTTGGCTTCGGCCTTTATGGATTTTGAAAAGATGGAAAGAAGAAAAATAAGACGCGGTTCCGGCCTTTACACTTTAAAATCCTATATATTCAAAATAAAAAAGGCTAGGCTGTATGGCTTCGATCCGTTGCCTCCACTCTTGAGCGAATAATAAAAACAACAACAATGTCATTTTCATTTGTCAAAGTGTCAAAAAGGTGTTAAGTCGTCAAATGAGGGCAAAAGCGGGTTTTATTGTATTTTATTATTATTTTCGTATTTAAATTAAATGGTAAATTGCTTTCGTTTTCAATACTTTAATTATATATTTCATCTAAAAATTTAAAATGGGTGATAATGATGGTTATTACGATGGTGACGGGTTAGTATAGATAAGCATGTATATTATGAGAGTTAAAAATCATTGTTTTCATTTTGTGTGTTTATATATGTAAAATGTTTTAATTTTTTATTTATTTGATTAAAATAGCTTTTCTTTACTATGAACTTAAATTGCCTCATGTTGATCTGTGACTTATAGGTCCCAATTTTATGTGGGACTTCTAACAATAAAGAATGTGCTAACTGTCTTACTTGCCTAGCATGTTTTAATTAATATGCGACTAATGGGATTTTGCGTTTGTGTTTGTGGAGGTGATGGGCTAGTCGCCTGTCATTTCATTCACAATTTTCCATCTAAACCCATATTTTTTTATTAAACAAGGTCCGAGTAGCACTCTGCTCCTTGGACTCTACCTACCCCCTCAATGATGATGGGCGTGACTCTATGTATGTATGAATTTATATGCTTGTGCTTAAATCTTTTTGATATAAAAGGTGTTTTTACATATATATGCTGGCTGCTACATGTGTCTTAATTGTAAATGGGCAATCGCTGCTATACATTTCATACTTGTGAACAGCTGCTGCATATGGGGACTGGTCTGTCGGGCTTGCAACACATTTATTCGCTTTAATTTTGCACATTTATGTTTCTAATACTTTTCAATTTTGATTGGATTATTGTAATGTTGGTGTTTAAGAAAATGAGAATAATGAGGATGGCTATGAATTTTTTCTGTGGTTTATTTCATTCTTTCAAACACTATTTTCAAAATAGTTGTAGATTTAGAAAAATGTTAACTTAACTTGCCAAACCAAATCTCAATTTCTTAAAATGTGATATATAATTATATATATAAAATTTCTTTATTTTATCTAACTATTGTGACCTTATTTGCAGGACAATGGATTCTTTACCTGTCTCCCCTGAAGTCACGTACAATTGGGTGGATATAACATCTGATTTTTTTAAATATATTCAAGGTAAATTTGCTCGCTGAATGAATATTGATAGGACTTGTGTCTATTGCACATATTGTTCAAATGAATTAAACTTAGAGTAGTATTATAATTTTCAACTAGATAACTGTTATAAATCAATATTTGTCTACCAATCTTTGTCCTCAATTATGAAAAATGATGAAGTGAAATGTTAAATTAAGAAAAGGTGATAAAAATGAGAAAGTAACAAAAATTTTGTTTCAAGAAATATAGGTTAATTAGAAAATTGTATGCAAAAATAAAACTTTCTTTCTAGGTGGCAAGTATGGTGATTTTTTTGTTAAATATTTTAATTATTTCTTATAATTTTTATTTTTTTTCAGACCTAAAAATAGGAGAATTATTGCATGATGGCCATCTGTTTGGTTTATTTGAAGCCATGTCAGCCATTGAGATGATGGATCCTAAAATGGATGCAGGAATGCTTTGTAACCGGGGAAGTCCTAAACCACTAAATTTTCAACAAGCTGTTGCAGTATGTTATGTTTCTTCATTCTATTTTTACTTATAATTGTTAGTTATCAATTAAACCTAATATGATGGCTAACTAGATGTAGTGACTTGAGTTTTTTACATGGTAGAGCCATGCTGCAGCTATATTAGTAGTATAGTTGTAGTATGAATAGGTCGGCTCAACTGGGAAAGGACCACACTGTCACAGAATACCAGCGTAAAATGCAGCTTAACACTGCTGTGTTTTGTATGGTGAGTGTAGAGAACCGGAGATCCTTTGGAAATGAGGCTTTCCATCTTTGTCCTCACGGGTGACAACACATCTGCAATTTGATTCTTTATTGAGGATAGATGTAGATGGGTCACAGCATCCACTTACCATCAGGTGGACTGTGTGCTTGTTTGTCACCCCATTCTATAAAAAAAAAGTGACAGCCTAGTAAGACATGCAGGAAGTCGATGGATATAGGTGGCTCAGGACTGTGCTTTATGGCATTCCTTGGGGGAGGTCGATGTTCAGCAGTGGATTAACATTTTCACAGATGAATAACTTTTTACAATTGAAGGATTATTTGACAATATCAATTTATACAATAAATATACCTAAGAAATCCAGTGTTTCACAGCATAGATGGTAGTTTTAGAAATTCTGTTTTAGATGCACCCAGTGGGGCAAAAAAATTAGTTTTGACAAAAGTCATCTTGATTCAAATACACAATCAAAGCAAGTGATTTTACTGTCCCTTTAATATGTATAGCAACAGCTTTTTAATTGTAAAGGATGGTTTTATTTGCTTTGATATATGAAGCACTATGATTAGTGCTGCGTGTCTTATAGCGATTGATAGGCCCCTATTAGATATTAAATCAAATGATGACCTACTGATGAATGGCCAAACAAAAAGAAATTGAGCCAAATGAAATGAAAGCCTACATAAAGAGCTGACTGAAAGAGCCTACATTATACTAATAAATTATAATATAAATGAGGACATGAATCTGTAATTCTTAAAAAATACTGACGTTTAAAAGCTTATGAGTAAAAATTGTCCAAAAAAATTATTTCAACTGACAATTTTTATTGTACAGGTCCACTACTTTTCATATGGTAGAGGCATGCTGCAGCTATATTAGTAGTATAGTTGTAGCACTAATGGGTCGGCTCGACCAGGGAAGGACCACACTCTCACTGAATACCAGCGTAAAATAGCAGCTTCATGCTGCTGTGTTTTGCATGGTGAGTGTAGAGAACCGGCGACCCTTTTTACTGGAAACGAGGTATTCCATCTTAGTCCTCACGGGTGACAACTCATCTGGATTTTGATATGTAATCAAGGATAGATGTAGATGTCTGTGGGCACAGTAACCACTTACCATCAGGTGGACTGTGTGCTTGTTTGTCACCCTTATCCTATTAAAAAAAAAACTACTATTTTTACTACCTTCTGCCTTAGGTATTTCTTGGGCCTCTAGTGGATTTCATAACTTGATAAAATTATCCTTTGTTGATAATCAACTAAGATAATCAACGTCTAGATAATCAATTAGATAAACACTTAAACAGATGTTTCTTGCTGGAAAGCACACACAATAATGACTTTCGATAAGTATTATTTGTAATGTATGTTGAATATAAATATTTTATTCTATTCAATTGAAAAACCTGGATAAGCAACATGGTTTTAAATACAAAAAGGCAAAAGTATGACATGCACACTAGTTTACAGTCCATTGCTGAAGATGGGTATTATTATATTGTCTATACAAATAAATAAAATTGAAGTGTCTCTTTGTAATGTCGAAATAAAAGCTTTTTACTATATGCATATGAAAGTATATACGGTACTTATAACAAAAACACGATTTTTAAAATTTTTGTCTGTCTGTCTGTTTGTTCCGCCTAATCTCCAGAACGGCTGGACCGATTTTGGCCGGTCTTTCACTGGCAGATAGCTGATGTTATAAGAAGTAACTTAGGCCACTTTTATTTTGTAAAAATAATTAGGGTCCACGCAAAAAATTAAAACCCATGAAATCCAATCGTAATAAATTACGCGCGGGCGAAGTCGTACCATAAATTGGGGTGTACTTAAAATTAGCAGGTTCTAAAACTTAAAAGATATTTACGTAATACTGAATACAATATTTTCATATTAAATTAAGTGTTTTCAAATTTTAAATTGCACCATGTACAATTGAAGGTTTGATTTTTACAATACCCGAAAAGTATCTCTTACTTCCTATTAACCTAGCGTCGTATTTAGCCAACTTCAAAGAAGGGAGCAGGTTCTAAATTCGACTTTATATTATTTTTTTTATTTATGTATGTTCATCAATTTCGAACCGATCTAATGATTCTTCTTTTATTTAATAGGTAAAAAATTAACCCTGATAGATGGAAAATTATTATGGAATGAAGTTTTCAATGTAACTATTTAGATGATATTCGAGCTGTGTATTTGTAATATCACTCAAAAGTGTGAAAAGTTTGACTTTTAATAAAAAATAAAAACCAGATCATTATATCCTCTGAAATGTGGATGCCTGGTAGAGATCGCTTCTAAGCGATAATGTCGCCAATTGTACCTTTAAACAATTTGTTTATTTTTTTTTCTCTTATTTTTTGATGTAAAATAAAGTATGTTTCATAATTTTTTTTCATAATTAATTAATTCATTCATTATGTCTTGGCACCGATTTTTGGAGCTATTATTTGCAAATTACTTTATCCTATTTAGTTCTTTGAATTCTAGTTTTAATTTTTATTAAGTCTAATTTTTTATATCACAAAATAAGAATTTTTCTTATGTTTTTATTTATAACCAAGGTTTGTTACATATGGGTACCTATTGCAGTGTGGTAAATTGAAAATTGACGATCTAGAACCGAATGAAATCATAGGCATCATAGATGCTACAATGGCGTGCATTGTTTCCTGGCTGGAAGGTCACTCGCTAGCACAAACAGTCTTCACCAACCTGTACTTGCATCAGCCTCACTCAATCATAAATAAAACACTGAAAGCTTATTGTATTGCAGTGTATAAGCTATTGGATTGTATTAGAGATTGTATAAACAAGTAAGTTATTTCTGGAATATGTTGATTATTTTTAACTATTGACACAAATTGCTTGTGATTTATGAACAAATGTTTTAAGCCAAACGTGGTAGAGCCACTTTCTCACAGAATACCAGCGTGAAATAGCAGCTTAATGCTTGTTTGCATTAAGCTGCTATTATGCTGTTTCATATGGTGAGTGTAGAGAACCGGAGACCCTTTTTACTGGAAAAGAGGCTTTCCAGCTTAGTCCTCACGGTTGACAACGCATCTGCATTTTGAGTCGAAATCGAGGATAGATGTAGATGTCTATGGGCACAGCAACCACTTATCATCAGGTGGACTGTGTGCTTGCTTGTCACCCTTATCCTATAAAAAAAAACATTACTTAAGCCACATGTATTGGGTATATTATATGTTACAATAATTACTAGATATTGATCTTATGACTTCTTTTGGGTATTTAACTTTAAATAATTTCATGGCAGTTAACCGGTGCGGATGGCACGCCAGGTGTGCCATCGATTATTTTTGTATGTGTGGCGATGACACGCGAGTCGTGTCTTTTTTTTTAATCGATATAACCACTCAAATTCCTTTTTGGAAGATTTATCCAAAACAAAATATTCATTATTTTGCAAGTAGTTCATGCCTACAGTTTAGTTTCTGGATATTTTAAAAATTTGAAATTTTTTGGGGTTGACAACCTTTTTTTAACTTGTACATGGTACTCTTTTTACTTTGTGGGTTTTAAATCATGTTGTGGAAAAATAGTCTAATAAGTAACAAATAATAGTACTCATTGCGAACGCTCACAAACGCAAATTGTAAATAAATTTCAGGAAAACACAACGCAAATTTTAACAGTGGTAGAGCCACGCGGCAGCTTTTGCTGTCGCACGGATGGGTCGGCTCGAACAGGGGTCACGACCTCACAGAATACCAGCGTGAAGTAGAGGTTTACCTCTGCGTTTCGCTTGGTGAGTGCAGGTGGCCGGAGGCCCTTTTTACTGGAAATGAGGCATTCCATCTTAGTCCTCACGGGTGACAACGCATCTGCATTTTGATTTGTAATCTATACAAATAAATAAAATTGAAGTGTCTGTTTGTAATGTCAAAATTACAGTTTTTTACTAAATGCATATGAAAGTAAATACGGTACCTATAACTAAAATACAATTTTTAAAATTTTTGTCTGTCTGTCTGTCTGTTTGTTCCGGGTAATCTCCGAAACGGCTGGACCGATTTTGACGGGACTTTCACTGACAGATAGCTGATTTCACAAGGAGTAACTTAGGCTACTTTTATTTTAGAAAACATAATTAGGGTTCCGCGCAAAAACATAAAAACCCTAACACGCGAGCGAAGTCGCGGGGAACAGCTAGTAGAGGATAGATGTAGATGACTATGCGCCGCAGCAACCACTTACCATCAGGTGGACTGTGTGCTCGTTTGTCATCATTATCCTATAATAAAAAAACAAGTTTCCTGTTAAAAAAAAAACAATGCGTTTGTCTTAATATTTAATTTTGCTTAAAATGGTTAAACTGCCGTCTTATTACTATCATATGACCGAATAGACCTACGAAGTACCATGTACTGTTGTGATATGGTATAAGGTTTATTTTTGCTTGAAACCGTTCGAAACCGTTCATGCATAAAAAAGTTCGCTAATAAATAGTCTTGTCAATCCGCCGCCGTATAGCGTCGGCGTTTTTTTCCTTTTGAAAACACTTGTTTTGCTATTCTTACTAGTTAGACGTTTTCAGATCGACTTTACTTTTATATTTGTACTAGCTATTCCCCGCGACTTCGCTCGCGTGTTAAGGTTTTTGTTTTTGGGCGGAACCCTAATTCTTTTTCGAAAATGAAAGTAGCCTAAGTTACTCCTTGTGAAATCAGCTATCTGCCAGTGAAAGTCTCGTCAAAATCGGTCCAGCCGTTTCGGAGATTACCCGGAACAAACAGACAGACAGACAGACAAAAATTTTAAAAATTGTATTTTAGTTATAGGTACCGTATTCATTTTCATATCCATTTAGTAAAAAACTGTAATTTTGACATTACATACAGACACTTCAATTTTATTTATTTGTATAGATAACATTAAATAATATTTAACATTTGTAAATATCAATGAATCATAAAGCTTATTTTTTTCCAAATTAAGGTTTTTGATTGTTTGATATTTACAAATGTTATTATTAGGTGAAAATTTAATTTAATAAAAACCAAGGTTTTCCAGGGTGATTTAGCTTTCATAAATGGTTTTTTTATAAAACAAAAAATAGTACAAAAGGTTGTAGTCTCTGCATAAAAAAGTCACTTACTCTCAATTTCAAAGAAAGCACGTATAAAAACACGTAGTTCCCCACTAAAAACATCTATCCTTCTGTTTGTAACTGATGTTTGATGTCAACTAAACTTAATTAGGTCTAAACAAGTGAAAAAAGCAAAAAGAAGAACATTACTTTTACACATGGCTGATGGCACAATAGACGTGTCTTCAACTTCTGTGGCGCTTGACATGCCAGGCGTGTCATGAAATAATTGTTCAAATAGTTGTCGTAAATCGGTGCCGCAACGAATCGGTGAAAAGAGACCAGTGACAATTTTTAGTTATCTTACCTTGTGTTGTTTTGTTCAAAAATATTTTTTATGCTCTTCATATCGTATTTTATATTATGATTTCCCTTTAGAGCGCAGGTATTTGAAGAAGAAGATTTTCTGCCAATGGGCTATGGTTACCGTCTTGGATCCAACCCACAATTAGGCAACACATGTGATGCTAGCCTTGAGGTGAGCGAGCAAAAATGCATTGCATTGTTGAGAGAGCAAGAAGAAGAACTCAACAAAAAAGCTAGGAGCATTGAAGATGAAGTAAGTGTTTTTTCTCTAATTTATTAATTGTTGTGTAGGCGGCGTAAGAGACTTCTTTAAGCTCGTAAGAGGCAACAGAAAGAAGTTATTAAAAATAAAAAACTAGTGACATGTTTAAAAAAAATTCAAATAAATTTTTACTGCGTATTTTTATCATGTTTTTGCATTTTCATACGAATTTGAGCTGTATTCAAAATTTCAAGTTTACAGGTCATTGGGAAGTTGTTTAAAATCAATTACTAAATTCCATCCAAAATGACAGACAAGTGAATTAATAAAAACGTGGTAATAAACTGCTATTAGCAAGCCGCCTGCCAAGCGCGACAGAGGCAAAAATCCCTCTATGAGGCAATCTATTGAAGGCCTATGTTTAGAGGTCTTTTAACAGTGGTAGAGCCACGCGGCAGCTTTTGCTGTCGCACGGATGGGCCGGCTCGAACCGGGGTGGTACCACGACCTCACAGAAAACCAGTGTGAAGTAGAGGTTTACCTCTGCGTTTCGCTTGGTGAGTGCAGGTGGCCGGAGGCCCTTTTTACTGGAAATGAGGCATTCCATCTTAGTCCTCACGGGTGACAACGCATCTACATTTTGATTTCTAATAGAGGATAGATGTAGATGTCTATGGGCCGCAGCAACCAATTACCATCAGGTGGACTGTAGACCATTGATACTGTGTGAATGAAATAATTATAGAATAATATTTCGTGAACCTTAGCTTTATTGAATTCTAAACAAAGAATAGTTACTCAATTCGTAAATTCTATAATATTCGTAGCAAATGAATATTATCATTTTGTATTTCAAAAATTCCTCACAAATTGCTTTGAAAATTTGAGATAACGTTACATTTGAATATGCGCCTGTTTTTTATATTTTGGAGAACTTTCTTGAGCCACAGCAATGCGTGTCGGCTACACCTAGTGTTATAATTATGTAATATTATAATTGTTGGTGTAGGTTGGCTCGCCGTGTAATGCCGGCGAAAGAATATTCACTACTCCATTTCGTTCCGTGGCTATCGTAAGAGGCGACAGAGAAAACCAAACCAAGTGAAGGGCAGCAGCATCTTCTTGATAACCATCCAACCCATCTGCCAAGCATTGCAACTATGGCTAAATACCCTCTATGAAGCAATCTATAAGAAGGCCTATGTTCAATAGTGGATTTTTATAGGCTGTAGCGGATGGATGGTAGAATTGTTGGTGAGTCTGTTAGTGATCGTCTAATTTCTGATTGACTTGATCGGTTGAGGTCATATTCACACAATATATCTGTATTGTCGTGACGATGGGTCATAGCAATGCTAGCATCGGACAGATGGTGCTGTAGTAAAGTTATTAACGAATTCTATATTTATGGACCAAAATGACACACATTTCACCATATATATGTTGGTTTATTGCCAAACAAGAAAATCACAAAATCTTGACCTGCTATAGTAGGGTTATAAATAAATTTTATATTTATCTGTACATATTCTGGAGTAAATTCGGAGCGAAACTCATCGCGCTATCTACCGGAAAAGGCAAAAACGTCTGACGGGTCAGCTAGTTCTTTATATAATAAATTGTATTAACTACTATTTATTTCAGACAAATAATCTTTCGACGGCATTGGCAGCTAGAATCCGCTTTACTAGAATGTTCTATCAAGCTCTTCTTCTTATAACGAAAAGAGATTCACAGTCTGGAGCCGATTGTGTAGCATTATTAAATGGATGCTCTGAAATGATGAAAGTTATTATCAAGACATCCGGAAGAGGCACACAACCTATAGAGAATTGTAAGTGAAGTTTAACCGATTGAGTGCGGATGGCACGCGATTATTTTTCTGTGTTGCGTATGACATTGGAGTCGTATCATTTTAAAACTCGTTATAACTCGCTCAAATTGCGTTTTTGGAAGATTTATCCAGAACAAAATATTCCTTATTTTGCAAGTAGTTCATACCTACAGCTTCGTTTCTGGATATCAAAATATCCAAAAAACTGAATTTTAAATTTTTAAGGGTTGAGAACCTTTTTTAACTTGTAGATGGTACTCTTTTTACTGTGCGGGTTTTTTAAATTATGTTGTGGAAAAATACTCGAATAAGTAACAAATAATAGAACTCATTGCGATTGCTCACAAACTCAAATTGTAAACAAGTTTCTGGAAGACAAGTCTCCTGTTAAAAAAAATGCGTTTGCCTTATTCTTTACTTTTGCTTAAAATGCTTGGAACTGCCGTCTTATTACTATCATATGGCCGAATGGACCTACGAAGTTCCATGTGCTCTTGAGATATGGTATAAGGTTTATTTCTGCTTGAAACAGTTCGAACGCGTTCATGCATAAAAAAGCTTGCTAATAAATTGGATATTTACAAACGTTACTATTAGGTGAAAATTTAATTTAATAAAAACCAAGGGTTTTCAGGGTGATTTAGCTGTACCTACTTATATAAATTTTTTTTTCTAAAACAATAAATAGTACAAAAGTTTTGTAATCTCTGCATAAATAAAGTCACTTGCTCTCCATTTCAAGGAAAACACGTTATTTTTGCACATGGCTGATGGTATAACAGGCGTGTCATCAACTTCTATGACGGTTGACAGCACAGGCATGCCACTAAATATTTTTACGCCGCCACAGCTAAAAGTTGTCAAAAAATTAGTGTCGCAACGAATCGGTTAATTATTTATTAATTCATTAATAACTGCCACTGCCCCATATTATCATACTGTGGGTATCGTAAAAGGCGACAGAGAAAAATTAAACAGAAGATGGGCAGTAGCATCCTCTTGATAAGAATTGAATAATAACTGAATAATAAAAACTGTCTTTGCCTACACACCTGCCAATTATAGTAAATATCTGCTCTATGTGGCAGTCTATGTGGGAAGCCTATGGTTGTTAGCATTGAATTTTGATGACTGTGATGAATGGAAGAACTTGAAAATGCATTTAGCTAGCGTATTTATCTACTACAGCTTGTATTTAGCTACATGTGGATGATGATAATAATGTTGAGTTTTTCATAATATGTATGTTCTAATTTAACCAACAAAGTTTGACAGGCTTTCTAATCAACAACACGCTGTAAAATAGAAAGTGGCTTCTTTTTGCCTAGAAGTTGAACTTTGTTGACACGACCCATAACTACATTTACTACCTATTTCTACCGTCAAGTAACAATACAACCACTTGTGTTCCGCTTTAAATCCGCTTTTATTCTTCGGAGGTAACAACGCATCTGTTATAATGTAGTTCCTTTGTCGATTAAGTGTGAATGTTAGCTGTGCAGCATTGTTCACTCCGGTGAAACAATTGAACTTGAAGGCGGCGTACGATGTGTGCACGTGGCGACTTTGACGATGACTATGAATTAATAGAAGTGGAAAAAGAAGCCAATAAAAAATAAAAACTCGAGAAATGGGTGCCTTATAAATTAACTGATGTGCATAGTGGCACGCATTGAAGCATGCATGCATTGATGAGTAGGTTACAGAAATTAATGAATATTGGACAGAATTGAGACGTAAGATGAAAAGTGGATTCTCTACTATAGTAAGCGAATTACGTAATGGCTGAATACAAGTCAAATACTGGAACACAATGCCTTAAAGCGAAGTTCACCCCTATGGGTGAACTTCGCTTTAAGGCATTGTTCCCCTATGGGTAAACTTCGCTTTAAGGCAAGTAATGGAAACTTTGGTGGTCATTTCAGGCAATGTCAATTTAATATAACTTTTTGATATTTTGGTGTCTCAATAACAGCAGATGCCTATTGTGAAGAACTTGGAACAATGATGGCGAAGCTCCAAGAACCAACCTCGACTCGTCAACCGATCTTTGCTATTAAAATGATTGTGAATTGATGATGATGAATGTTCAACAAACCGTTTTAAACATTACAAAGAGCCGCAGTTAAAAACCATACGTCATCCTCCGTACTCGCCAGACCTAGCCTCAAACGATTACCATTTTGCCGCAATTTGGACAATTTCCTGCAAGGAATTATAAATTATAAAACTGAAGTGACAAACTAAATTCCACGAGCTTATAATTTAACAAACAATCCACCTAATGGTAACTGGTTTTTGGTAAATAAAGAAAGCCAAAGATGCCACATCTGAGTACTAGGAATGCCTGTAACTATACTGACTCTCTATATCTTCAGATGCCAACACAGCAGTGCAATCACTGCTATTTGGAGGCAAAAATAGGTAAGACGTTGGTACATATCCCGACAGACTCCTTGGTAGAAAAGGAGTGTTACCAGCTAGTAGTAGTTCTCAGGAAACAATACAAAATGCCAATAGACATTGTAGAGTCCAGATATTCAGAGTTCTATCGCAAAGGCATAAAATATCGTAATGAGAACGGCAGAAATGAGATAGATAATGAGAGTAAATAATACTTCTATTAAATAAATATATTTTTTCTTTTAAAAATGTTTTAAATGTTTAAGTTAAAATAGCAATTATAGTATGTTTATACATGCATATGCATATTTATTAGTTGCTGCATTTACCGTTTTGTCCACAACACAGAATCATAAATTAGCGCTGACAGCTATGACGTTAAAAAGCATAGTAAGTCGTTGGAGCGTTCTTCAAAAAACGATAGATTCCTGAAACTTGCTTTAGCGATTAGGCTTAGTTTTAAAACATTAACCTTCACGCCGCCACACCTGTACTTTTTAAGGAGCTACTAACTAATTTTTTCCCATAAAATCATAACAAAGACTATTTAAATTTCAAAATATTAGATATAGCATGCTTTTACATGTTTTTGACATTTGTTTTGTTTTTGCAGCCAATTCGCCAAATCCAATGGGTTTCGAACCCATGATCAACCAGCGTCTTCTTCCGCCTACATTCCCCCGTTACACTCGTATCAAGCCGCGTAATGAAGCTCTACAGTATTTCGACGAACTCGTGGCTCAACTGCGACATGCATGGAAAATAACATCATGTACCAATTTTCATACAGCTCTAGTAAGTTTTCCATTTTGTTTTTAACTTCAAGTTAAATATTTGCTTTATTGAAATAGATTACAGAAATGTTTATAAATGTCCCAGTTACAATGTTCTAATTATAATAGAAAACTTAACCTTTACCAAAAACATTAATGAATGACAGTTACTGATTATAATATTAATTAGATGTTTTGAAGATAGTGAAGTCAGCTAACCCGCATAGATGGAGCGTGACAGATACTTTCCTGCTCTAAAACCCCCTCAGAAGTAAGAAAGAGCCTGTGTCCAGCTATGAAGGAATGTATATAGGTTGTTACTTTATTTTAAATATACGGATTTATTTGAAATATAGTGCAAAGAGTCCTGCAGAGGTTTCTACCTACATCATCATCATCATTACAGCCCTCCACTGCTGAACATAGGCCTCCCCCAAGGAATGCCACAAAACACGGCCCTGAGCCACCTGCATCCATCGACTTCCTGCATGTCTTACCAGGTCGTCACTCCATCTAGTGGGGGGACGCCCTACACTTCGTCCGCCGGTACGAGGCCGCCACTTGAGAACCTTTTTCCCTATCGGTTGTCCGTTCTTCGAGCTATATGGCCGGCCCATTGCTACTTCAGCTTACTAATCCGTTGGGCTATGTCGGTCACTGTGGTTCTACTGCGGATATCCTCATTTCTAAGTTTATCACGCAGAGAAACTCCGAGCATAGCCCTCTTCGTAGCTGGCTGAGCGACCTTGAGCTTCCTCATCCGGCCAGCAGTGAAAGACCACGTCTCAGTTCTATAGGTCATCATTGGCAACACGCACTGGTTGTACAGTCTCGTTTTCAAGTTTTGAGGTATACTTGACGAGAAGATGTGCCGTAATTTCCCGAACGCTGCCCAACCGAGTTGAATCCGTCGATTGACCTCTCGATCGAAATTGGACTTACCAAGTCGGACTATTTGTCCCAGGTAAACATACTCCTCAACAACTTCGAGCTTAGTGCTCCTAACAACTACCGGCATAGGTGTGACATGGACATTAAACATGATTTTTGTTTTGTCCATGTTCATTTTAAGACCTATCCGTTGGGAGACACAATTGAGGTCATTGAGCATAGTGCTTCGGTCCTCCAGCGAATATCCGCCATAAGGACTATATCGTCGACAAATTGAAGGTGAGTGATGTACTCGCCATTGATGTTAATACCGTAACTTGAAAACGTCTTCCAATGCAGCGGTGAAGAGTTTCGGGGATAAAACGTCGCCCTGTCTTACACCTCTGCATTTGGATAGGTTTCGTACTCTGATTCTGTACTCGGATAGCCATCGTAGCCCTACTGTACAAACACTTCAGCACTTCGATATACCAATAGTCAACTTGGCACCGCTGAAGGAACTGCAGCACCGTCCAAATTTCGACGGAATCAAAGGCTTTCTCATAGTCCACATACGCAAGGCAAAGTGAAGCTTTTCTTGAAGAACAAGACCACCGCACTTCTGCTCCACGCCTCCGGAGTAGTACCACCATGGAGGATGGAATTAAAGAGCTTCTCAAGGACTTCAAGTACCGGTTTTCCACCCGCTTTCAGAAGCTCCGATGTAATTCCATCCTCCCCCCGGGACTTGCCGTTTTTAAGGCGCTGAAGACCCATTCTAATCTCGTTCAGAGTGACGTCCGGATTATCTTCGGAATAGTGTTAGATAAGACTCGCTCTTGGATCGTTACTCACACTTGCGTGTGGCTCCAACGATGACGTGTACAGCTGCCCATAGAACCTCTCAATCTCACTCAAAATCTCAGGTGTCCTGGAAACGATGCTTTAACACTCGGTCTTCAGATTTGACAGTTGGCTCTTTCTGGCAGACAGATCTCTGGCAAAGACTTTGGAGCCTTGGTTCCGCCCGATCGCTTCTTCAATACAAGCTGTATTGAAGTTGCGTAAGTCCCGCCGCATGCATTTGTAGATCTGTCTGTTCAGTTGCTTGTATGCTTTCAAATCCGTTGAAGACTGCAGCTTCATTTCTCGTCTAACAGCCATGAGATTAAGAGGGTGATCGAAGAGTTTTTGTGTTCTTCTGCGGCGTGTCTTACAGAACTTAGCTCCGACCGCATGAACAGTTTCCACGAGCTTATCATTCATATCGTCCACTTCATTGCAGTCTTCCAGGCACAGAAAACGGTTTTGTAACTCGAGCTGAAAGGTTTCTTAACTTCGGACTAAAGCACGAGGGGAATGGAGCGTTGACTTCATTAGACGAGACCTCTCCAACTTAACGTTTAGGTTCAGTGTGCCTCTGACCATTAGGTGATCGCTACCAGTTTTCACCCTCGCGATCACTGAGACATCACTGAACAGTTGTGGTCTGGTCATCATAATGAAATCAATCTCATTTTTTGTCGAACCGTCAGGGCTCGACCAGGTCCACTTCCTGTAGGGTCGCTTCTGGAAGAAAGAGTTCATCATAAAGAGTCCCTCTTTCTCCATGAAGTCGGCCAGCTGCTAGCCCCTTGGGTTCCGTTGCCCTATTCCAAATTTCCCTACTTTCAGCTCACAGTTCTTTCTTATGCCTAGTTTTGCATTGAAGTCTCCCATTAACACCGTATAGTGGGTTTTGGAGGAATGCATGGCTCTAGAGATATCCTCATACATTTCCTCCGCCTCCTCATCGGGGTGTGCCGAGGTTGGTGCGTAAACCTGTATGACCTTCAGCGAATACCGTTTGGTGATTCTGAGTATAAGGTACGCAACCCTCGTAGACACACTCCCAATCTTTACAACGTTGTTAACAAGAGACTTATGGACGATAAATCAGTAACCTCCTTGGCACAGATGGTCGCCCTCCCGGTGATAGAACTAGTTGCCGGATTCGAGGATTACCGTGTCCTCCCCCTCTTCGGACCTCGGGTAATCCTATAATATTCCAGCGCAACTTTTCTATCTCTTTCCAGCTCCAGGATTTTCTCGTCAGTCCTCAGGGTGCGTGCATTATAAGTTGCCAGGTCGAGTCATCGTAGGTGGCAACCGAGCCTCCAGCGGAGATTCTTAGCACCCCCTGCCCCGCCCTTATATTGCCATAGTTGTCACGCTTGGCGAGCGGGTTGGCAACCGCAGTTTTTTTATTGTGATATTGCTGTTATCAAGAAGATGCTGCTGCCCTCTACCTACAAGTGGCTTAAAACTGTGTTTTGTTGCAATCTGTGTGCGAGTTTTATGACGATGAAGATGATGATGGTCTTTTCGCAATTTTATAGTGATGTTATTGTTAAGTTATTTATATATTTGCAATATCCCTGTCTCTTTTTTAATTTTGTATTGAATTAATAGTGCGTTGAATGAAATTGAAAAATAATAAAATATTATTATTATTATTTTAATAAAATAAAATAAAAGCGTAACACACGAATATTTATGTATTGAACTAAATGGGTTCCCAGGACTTTTTCATGGAGTTCAGTCGACAGCGGGCTTGCATTCTGTCTCGGTCAGCGTTGCAGCTTCTGTACCTGAACCCGTCGCCCGCTACCACCGCGTCTATGGCACAAAGCGCTATAAATTTGCCTCCGGGACAGTCTCGCCCTTCTCACCCTTTTGTGGAAATACTCCGGGAGTCCATCAAAAGCTTTGTAAATCCACCAGCACTCACGCCTAAGTCTCCGGCTGCCTCTACTCCCCAGGTTTGCATTTTTTTAAATATAAAATTTTATTTCAGTCGAAGCGGTAAACAAACGCCCTGTTGCTAGGAGTTCCTATGCATGATTGAGTCCTTGATAAGGACAGTCGCAACAAAATGAGAGTAACCGACCGAGCTCAACAAATTATTATACTGAATTGACAATGGGCCGAAGAATAAAGTCCGAAGAACCGACAACCGACAATATAGATTCTGAAATATTCTAGAATCGACAAGAGTAGTAATAGGCGACACCCCACTTGATGTAAAAAACTACCAGATTAGATATTCATTAAGTATATGGATGCAGGTTGCTTAGTACCGTGTTTGGTGGCAATTTATGCTAAGGCCGACCGTTCGCCAGTTGACTTATGAAGAGCTGTTAATTATCGTGATTGTTTCTGTCACTTGCTTCAAAAGCGTTTACACTCTTAGTTATAAAGTTGAATGTGAAAGGATTATTCAATTTACTGATGGATGTAGGCCTCCTCCAGAATATGTGTGAATGTAATATGTGAATGTATTTTGCACCATGTAAAGAAAAATTAAAAAATACATATTTATTATTTCTATTCATAAAAATGCATTATAAATTTATAATTTTAAGAATATTTCTTTAAATCTGTGTTTCAAATCTCCAAAACGCTATCTACCATATTAGATTCCGCCGTGACGTCAATTTTATAGTAAATAACCTAATGTGCTGTGTGTTATTTCAAACATTTTCAAGTTATTATCACGAGTGTTGACTTTTATTCCATATTTTATTGAAATGGCATCATGGAAGACGGATTCGTAAAAGCAGAAACTACTAATCTACCAAGGATTACAGTGATAGTGGCAATTTTTTTTGCATGCAATCCCGACTTGTTCTGCCGAGTTGAGAAATGTTAAAACATCAATGTATAATATTAAAATGTATGTATAATATAACAATACCCGGTCAGAGTGTCTTTTGATAATACCTAGTTATGTTTATCTATGATTACAATCATTAGCAATCATTAGTTATATTTAAGATAACCTAATCTATTACAAAATTTGATTTGCAAGAACCGTTTATACAAAACAAAACCTCATGATGTTTTGTTTTGTATAAACGGTAGTAAAATATAAGCCATACTTACATCAAAGTGATCTTCACATAAGTATAGTCTAGTTTTGTAGAAAATGTCTGCGGGTCTCTTGCCAGTTTTAACCAAGTATTTCTCATATTTAAATCAGTTGGCACTTGAGTCCATAACTTTCTCGGCGTTCTTATACTCGTATTTTTGCATTGAGGCACAACACACCAATGATAAAGATGATAACTCATTGTTAAACACCAAAAAATATCTTATATTATGCTTGTCATACAATTATTTGATTGATAGCGTGAAAAATTTGCCAATATTCACTCGGTGAGACAGATTGAATTGTGAGCTTCTTATGTTTATTTATATTTATTTATTTAAATCTTTATTGCAGTCCTTTAAAAAAAGGACACAAAGAGTGGGCTAAATGACTAAAGGCATTCTTTACCAATCAAATAAAGAATTGACATAGGTGTAACAATTAAAAAAAAAGAAAAGAGTAGAATCTAAAATACATAGATACACATTACTATCAAAATATATTATGATTTAATATATTGTAAGTAAACATATCACACACACGCACGCACGCACGCACGCACACATACTTAAACATAAATACAAAATTAATACACACATATAAATACGACCATATAACAATATTGTATTTCTAATGATTCCTCCGTAAATGCTCATGAATCCACTTTTTATGTTGCTTTGAGTATTCAACAAACTTTGTAGATATTACTATATGGAAACTATTTTATTAATGTAAAGAAAATCTATTAAAAATAATTTGATACAATGTGTAATTATTGTTATCGTAAACATAAATCATTGTATCATTGTGTGTCACGTACTCCTCCATTATAATCTTGTCCTGCGCAGATGGCTAGTCTCCGTTAAGGCCGATCCTTCCTGACCGTAACTCGGTCTCTAAGTTCCAAATGATATGTTTTATTCTTCTCCCTTTACAAAAAATAATAAAAAGGTAACAACTGTGTAATGGCGGTGTATAAATACCCACTACTCCATTTTATCCCTTTGGTGCCGTAAGAGATGACAGATTGAAACTGAACCAGGTGATGGGCAGCAGCATCTTCCTGATAAGAGCTGAATAAATAACCAAACTGCGGTTAAAACCTATTTGCGTGGCAAATATGGCAAATATTCAACTCCTTTGAGACAATGCATAAGGCCAATCTGGAGGCCTATGTTCAGCAGTGGACTTACGATAAGCGTTAATGGTACTAAAAAGGTACCAAAATTTTCGATGTTCATTTAATTACTTATATATATTTTATATTAATTTAATATACTGGTTCCTTGTTCCAGGCTCGGGAGTTCGTTGAAAATTTTCTGGTACGTTGCGTGCGTCCTTTCGCGGTTTTGCTTCAAGTGTGTGGACACAATCGGGCGCGACAACGGGATAAGCTGGCTTTGTTGCTTGACGAGTTTGCTACTTTACAGGAAGAGGTTAGTATGGTGTCATTAAATCCATCTTTTTTTCTAATACATCATTATGTTTGTCGCAGTAGTGTAAAAATAGCGCAGTTCTAAAATTATTTAATGAACGTTACACGACAGACAGACGAACATTTTTAAAACGATTATTCGTGTCTTAATACCATGTAAATAACTCCCTGAGTTTAATAGAATTTTGATGTTACAGGCAGTCCCTTAATATTTTTATATGGTTACGATATGGAGGATAATTGGTGGAAAAATATCTTTGGTGACAGCTTCTTTATTTTCCTAGTTTGACGCAAATTAATCAGTATCGTTCATGACATAAATGATCATCATCATCATTACAGCCCTTCACAAGTCCACTGCTGATCATAGGCCTCCCCGAAAGAATGCCACAAAGCACGGTCCTGAGCCACCTGCATCCATCGACTTCCTGCATATCTTACCAGGTCGTCACTCCATCTCGTGGGGGGACGCCCTACACTTCGCCTACCGGTACGAGGCTGCCACTCGAGAACCTTTCTTCCCCATCGGTTGTCGGTTCTTCGAGCTATATGGCCGGCCCACTGCCACTTCAGCTTACTAATCCGTTGGGCTATGTCGGTTATTCTGGTTCTACTGCGGATATCCTCATTCCTAAGTTTATCACGCAGAGAAACTCCGAGCATAGCCCTCTCCATAGCTCGCTGAGCGACCTTGAGCTTCCTCATACGGCCAGCAGTGAAGGACCACGTCTCAGTTCCGTAAGTCATCACTGGCAACACGCACTGGTTGTACAATTTCGTTTTAAGGTTTTGAGGTACGTCTGACGAGAAGATGTGTCGTAGCTTCCCGAACGCTGCCCAGCCGAGTTGAATCCGTCGATTAACCTCTCGGTCGAAGTTGGACTTACCTAGTCGGACTATTTGTCCCAGGTAAACATACTCGTCAACAACTTCGACCTTAGTGCTCCCAACAACTACCGGCATAGGTGTGACATGGACATTAAACATGATCTTTGTTTTGTCCATGTTCATCTTAAGACCTATTCGTTGGGAAACACTATTGAGGTCATTGAGCATAGTGCTTACGTCCTCCAGCGATTCTGCCATAAGGACTATATCGTCGGCAAATCGAAGGTGAGTGATGTACTCGCCATTGATGTTGATACCGTATCCTTTCCAGTCCAGAAGCTTGAAAACGTCTTCCAATGCAGTGGTGAAGAGTTTCGGGGATATGACGTCACCCTGTCTTACACCTCTCTGCAATTGGATAGGTTTCGTACTCTGGTTCTGTACTCGGATAGCCATCGTAGCCCTACTGTACAAGCACTTCAACACTTCGATATACCGACAGTCAACTTGGCACCGCTGAAGGGACTGCAGCACCGCCCAAATTTCGACGGAATCAAAGGCTTTCTCATAGTCCACATACGCCAGACATAGTGGCAAATTGTACTCTTCGGACTTCTGTACAACTTGCCGAAGGGTATGTATGTGGTCTATGGTGCTAAAGCCCTTTCGGAAACCGGCTTGTTCGGGAGGCTGGAAGTCGTCAAGTCTGCGCGCGAGACGATTCGTAATGACTCTCGAAAACAGCACGTAGACGCGGCTCAGAAGGGAAATCGGTCTGTAGTTCTTCAAGAGAGCGTTGTCACCTTTCTTGAAGAACAAGACCACCGCACTTCTGCTCCACGCCTCCGGTGTAATGCCACCATGGAGGACGGAATTAAAGAGCTTCTGAAGGACTTCAAGTACCGGTTTTCCACCCGCTTTCAGAAGCTCCGCTGTAATTCCATCCTCGCCTGGGGCCTTACCGTTTTTAAGGTGCTGGAGAGCCATTCTAATCTCGCTCAGACTGACGTCCGGGATATCTTCGGAATAGTGTCGGATGAGACTCGCTCTTGGATCGTTACTCACACTTGCGTGTGGCTCCAACGATGACGTGTACAGCTGCCCATAGAACCTCTCAATCTCACTCAAAATCTCAGGTGTCCCGGAAACGATGCTGCCACATTCCGTCTTCAGCTTTGACAGTTGGCTCTTTCTGGCAGACAGATCTCTGGCAAAGACTTTGGAGCCTTGGTTCCGCTCGATCGTTTCTTCAATACGAGCTGTATTAAAGTTGCGTAAGTCCCGCCGCATGCATTTGGAGATCTGTCTGTTCAGATGCCTGTATGCTGTCAAGTCTGTTGAAGAATGTAGCTTCATCTCCGGTCTAACAGCCATGAGATTAAGAGTGTGATCGGAGAGTTTTTGTGTTCTTCTGCGGCGGGTCTTGCAGAACTTAGCTCCGACCGCATGGACAGTTTCCACGAGCTTGTCATTCATATTGTCCACTTCATTGCAGTCTTCTAGGCACTGAAAACGGTTTTGTAACTCGAGCTGAAAGGTTTCGGGACTTTGGAACAGAGCACGAGGGGGACGGAGCGTTGACTTCATTAGATAAGACCTCTCCAACTTAACGTTTAGGTTCAGTGTGCCTCTAACCATTCGGTGATCGCTACCAGTTTTCACCCTCGCGATCACGGAGGCATCACTGAACAGTTGTCGTCTGGTCGTCATAATGAAGTCAATCTCATTTTTTGTCGAACCGTCGGGGCTCGACCAGGTCCACTTCCTGTGGGGCCGCTTCTGGAAGAAAGAGTTCATCATAAAGAGTCCCTCTTTCTCCATGAAGTCGGCCAGCTGCTGGCACCTTGGGTTCCGTTGCCCTATTCTAAATTTCCCTACTTTCAGCACACCGATTAGCATCGATAGACAGACAGATAAAACATTTTAAAATTTTCATGTCTTAATAGGACGTAAATAATTCCCTGAACTTAATAGAAGCCAGTTACTTGGATATTACAGACTATTATTACAGATATTATATACACTCCAATTTTTTTTGTGTATAGTTTTTATGCTTTTACTCAGAAAATATTTTCTAGTTTAGCCAATTTAAATCAACTCGATCCGTTTAATAGAAGACAGTCCGTTTCTTATTAAATAAATTTTTATTTTTCCATACATACCTAATATTTTCAAAAATAAACATCACTGTGTGTACTAAATGTTAGTCTCCTTGAAAAAGGATTCACGCGGTCCCAAGTTACCGATAGCTTCTTTTTTTTTTGCTTGCATTTGAAGAAATTAATCAAATTGCGTGCCTATCCACACGACCTGTGATTGTCTCGAATCTTAAGTTTCAGAATTTATTAATTGATTGTAGTTGTTATTAATAATTTTAAAATTCGCCAGCAACCAGAGATTAATCCCCACCATCAACACTGAAACTTTTAAGCACTGATTTACCACGTGTTCCATGGTGAGAGAAAACGTAGTTAAAAAATTCCCTATTACCTTCGAAAAAAATAAGAGGCCTGCTGAAGTAATGAAATGGTCAGTTTAGAGAGTAAGATAGATATTTCATTTATGTTTTGAATGGGAAGTCATTTATGTTTTACCTGAGAATATTGTCTATTGAGAAACATTGACATTGTCATTTGGATATCAACCTTATTGTGACGAAATAAGGTTTAATATGTCTATTTCTCCAAATGTCAACGCACCCACAAACCTGCCAGCAAGGAATGATGAGTACGGACATAGCTTTCAAGTCATACACAATATCATAAGGCAAATTTTCGATAATGCCAGTCTTATGTCACTTAAAAAGTTCAGTTTATGGGAGAATATTGGTGATAACGGTTTTCATATGTGTTCACTATTATAAATAGTACGTTTCTCGTAGGCGGAGAGCGTGGACGCATTGGTGGGAGGCGAGGGAGTAGCGCCGCGCTCGTGTTTCGGCACTTGGGTGCTGTACCACGTGTTGCGCGTCATGATCGCTTACCTGCTGGCCGGCCTTGAACTCGAACTCTACAGCGTCCACGAGTACCACTACATCTTTTGGTACGTGCCTATACTCCTTAATATTGAACATAGAAGAGCAATAGGAGAAAATACGCAGACTGTGTGATTTAACAGCCTTAATTTTTTTTATAACAATATGGAATTGTGTCCTCTTGGCCAATTTCTAGCACGCGTATATTAGATTGGTATGTATCTATGTAACGGAATTTTTGAATGTGATTTTCACCACCTCCAAAACGTTGGATTGATTTCGCACACTTATTAACGACCGATGACAATGCAATAATTTAAATAGTTCGTCCTATTATCCTTGCCAGGATCCTCGGGATTTGCGAATATTTCATAAGAAAACAACGCTTTCTGCCAGTTCAATCTACTGTAAGCCGCGTAAAAGAACTTCGTTCCAAAAAAAAAAAGGTTTTGTAGTTAGCCGCACTAAAAAATAGAAAATAAATAAGTTTAAAAAAAATTAAAAAACAGGCCTTTGTAGATAACCGAACTTTTTTAGTTAATAATTTTCAATAAGTTTAAAATAATAAGATAGTGATAAACAGAAAAAAATAACTTTATTGTTAAATGCGTAGGGTGCTTGATGTCATTTGTTGTAAATATTTTATAGCCCACTCAACGAAGACCAAAAACTGCCAAATAGGGGAAATAATTCGTGTAAAAGCGATTTTTGGCATAGTTGTAGGGAATGGTGTCTTAAACAACATACTCAAAGTACTGATGAATGGGGGTGAAGCTAACGGGTAGGGGGGGGTGTAAAGGTCCCTTTTTTAAGTTTTTCTTAAATAACTCGTAAACGGTGGCTCATAGCAAAAAAATTTCTTCTACTCAAGTAATCTAAATAAAATTTTATACAAAAAAGATTCTATACACTTTTTCGCTGGGATCAATATTTAACGAGATATTAAAGAAGAAAAGTTAATTATGATCAATTCTCGCGATTTAACGTCGTAGTAAAGTGCGCGCCACAGACTGTGCGCGCCGCCAGTGAAGTGGTTGTGTGTACGCCGAGTTTCGCGCCAAAATCGGTCAGAGGTTAAATCGCGTCGCGAGTTGTGATTTTTTTTCTACGTGGCACTACAAAATGTCGGAGAAGTGTTTAATTTGTGATAATGTAGTCGAAATGGACTTGTGTAAAGTCGGAAGTAAAGGGATAAGTGGGATAATAAAGGCAAGCGCGTTAAGAAAAGATGGGAAAGAAACATGTTTAAGGAATAAGATGAGTGGTGTTGTTCACAATACTTGCAGAAGACAATACGTTAGAAGTGACTCAATAAAAAGGTTTTTGAGAGAACAAGCTCTTTCAGAGCAACCATCAACATCACGTGGTGTCTCTTCTTTGCGTTCAGGACAAAGTCAGTTTGATTTTAAAACAAAGTGTTTTTTTTGCACAGAAGAGCATGACGAGGAGGCGGAGAGAAAAAAACCTTATTCTAAGCGTCGAACCATTATCAAAGTTCGTACGACTACGTTTCACAATTCCGTGCTTCTTCGTGGGCAGGAAAGAAACGATGAGTGGGGTAACGACGTAGTAAGACGTATCTGCACTGTTGGGGATCTACATGCAGTAGATGCTATATATCACGTGGATTGTTACAAAAAATTCACCCTTGCCACTCTACCTTCAAAAAGAAAAGCTGGGCGCCCCATTGATGAAGGGATTTCAGAAGCAATGAACGAAATCTACGATTACATTGAAAAAAATGATAACTGTCAATTTTCTATGGACGATTTGTTGGGACAGATTACGGGAGAACCACCAACTGTGAAAACCATCAAAGCCAGAATGAAGGAAAAATATGGGGACCAAATTGTTTTCAGTACAACTCGCACCAAACAAACAGTCGTCTGCTTTCATGCAACTGGTGAAAAAATTTTAAACGACGCGTGGTACACGTCAAGGTGTACTAATGAACAGGCAGAAAATGAAAGAATTGTACGAAAAGCCGCTGAGATTATCTTGAAAGATATTGAATCTATGGCTTACGACAACAGTGCCTATTTTCCTTTAACTAGCTTCTGCAGGGAGGCTGAAGAATTGATACCTCAAACTCTCGCAGTTTTCACAGACTGCCTTGCAAAGAAAAAAAGGTCACAAGAGACTGTGAAAAAAAAAATGACAACTATAGCTCATACACTTATTGCTGCTATTCGCCCTAGATGTTTCATATCCCCTATTTTGTCCAGCATCGCTCTGCTTATATACCGAAAATATGGATCCAAGAATTTGGTGGACCTTCTGTCGAAGTTGGGATTGAGTGCCTCTTATTACGAGGCTCAGCGGCTAGAGCTCTCCACCATCCACCATACGGAAGAGCCTATTCCAATTGGAACTTTTATTCAGTTCGTCTTTGACAATGCTGACTTCAATGTATCCACTCTCGATGGCCGGAATACCTTCCACAGCATGGGAGGTATCAAATGTATTACACCGGCCAACACTCTTCATGCATCCACAAATGTCAAAAGGTTGAATTCTGCTCCTCCCCAGGAAGAAGTGGGCCAGCTGGGAGTTCTGGAGGTGCATACATTAGAGGGTAGGGGAACCAACGCATTACAGCAAATGATCATAGAAGACTTGAGCTTTCTGAAGCCCATCCCTTCTGACATATTCGTGGTAGAGCCATGCTGCATCTATATTATGGTTGTAGCACGAATGGGTCGGCTCGACCGGGGAAGGACCACGCTCTCACAGAATACCAGCGTGAAATAGCAGCTTATCGCTGCTGTGTTTCGTATGGTGAGTGTAGAGAACCGGAGACCCTTTTTACTGGAAACGAGGCATTCCATCTTAGTCCTCACGGGTGACAACGCATCTGCATTTTGACTCTTAATCGAAGATAGATGTAGATGTCTATGGGCCACAGCGACCACTTACCATCAGGTGGACTGTGTGCTCGTTTGTCACCCTTATCCTATAAAAAAAAAAAAAAAAAAAAATTCACACCCACTATTCAAGATCTCTTGTGGATGAGTGGTAAGTGGCTCCAGGAGGTGGAACCTACTTTGGAGGTGCCTAACATTCCAGAATGGAAAGGTTTTATGCAATTGACAAGTAAATTAATTAACAAAGAAACAACTTCGGTAACTTTTCTTCCATTTATCAATTCTCCACCAAATGAGTACAGCACTATACGCACAGCCTTACAGTATGCTTTAAAAAAGAGTCAGGAGGTAGGAGTCACCGTTTGTTTCGTAACTTTCGACCAGCCTTTGTATTTAAAGGCCAGGGAAATCAGCTTTGGGAGCATTATGGTGAGACTTGGTGGGTTTCACTTACTGATGTCCTTTTTGGGTTGCATTGGCCACACAATGGCTGGATCAGGACTGAAAGATGTATTATGCCAAATTTTTGCTCCTAATTCAGTTGACAAGATGTTAACAGGACATGCCTACAGCCGAGCCGTTCGAGGACATTTGCTTGTTCAGCTTGTTTTAGCTCATATTATTCTGGATGGAGCCAATGTATCAGAAGAAGAGAAGAAGGACATCTCGACTATGTTGATCAACATGGAAGAATTTACTCCAGATAAAGTTAAAGAGAATGCTTCCTTGATGTCAACTTTGAAAAAATTTCAGTACCATCTCGAGACCCTTAAAGAGAATGGGCCTACCGCTGCTTTGTGGGTGCAGTATTTCAATATGGTTACACTCATGAAGAAGTACATTAATTTTGAGCGTTGTGGTGATTGGGACGGCCACTTGGCGTGTGTACAACAGATAATCCCATTCTTCCATGCAAGTGGACACTTCCAATACGCGAAATGTGCCCATATCTACGTGCAAGACATGATGCAACTGAAGAACAGCCATCCCCAAACGTACAAGGAATTTGCAGAAAAAGGCTTCTTCACCATTAATCGCACAGGCACACCTTGGGCAGGAGTTTGGTCGGATATGGTAATAGAGCAAACTCTCATGCGCTCCATGAAAAGTTCAGGTGGCCTGACGCGAGGAAGAGGAATTACTGATTCTGTATTGGCCAAATGGGTTTGCGGATCACCGGGATGCACCGCCATCTGCACTTCATTGGAGGAGTTCGCCGAAGTGGTTTTTGCTAGTGGAGAACAGCATGTCGATTTCCGGCAGTCACGGCAACAGAGAGATTCACGAGATCGAGCTAAGATTCGGGAATGGTTTAGTGAACATCCCCCATTTCCAAAGTTGAATTCGCTAATATCTCTCTCAACGGGCGTCCTGGGAAATTCCAAAGTAAACTGCCACCAAGCCCTAGATATTGGCACCAAAACGATGCAAAATTTCATTGGCAGAAGATTCAGTGACATGAAGCAGTCTAAAAAGAATGTGGTTTTGTCACTAGCCAGTATGAGTAGTAGCATTAAAATCAATGGTGAGACAGTTACTGTTAACCCTTTAACTATTTTCCAAAGAACTGTCATAGCAAAAAAGAATGACGAAGATGTTGCAGACCTTTTGACTTATGAATTAACCCCATTCCCCATGTCTCTGTTCCACGAGGGTGTGATGCGAAAAGGGAAGAAGTCATCCCTCTACGATGTTTTGCCAGTAGAGAATAACGCAGCTCTCGATCTCAACCAAACCACCAATGTGGTAGATGGTGGTTTCCTACTACACCGTATGAAATGGAAACCGTCCTCCAGCGTTTCTTCGATTTGCCATCAGTACATTACCTACGTACAGAAACATTACGGTACAAATTGTATGGTGGTTTTTGATGGTTACAGTGATGTCAACAGCACAAAACGAGCAGAGCAGAAGCGACGAGGTTTGACTAGAACGTCGGTTGACATTAACTGTAACGAAAATACGATCATCACTGTTCAACAGGAGCATTTCCTTGCCAATGAAAACAATAAAACTAGGCTGATTCAGTTCCTCACCGAGAAAATGACAGCAGCAGGGATTGAAACAACTGTTGCAACAGGAGATGCTGATGGTACTATTGTCAGCTGCGGGTTGGATAAGGCTGCCGTTCATCCAACTGTTGTAATAGTTGGGGAGGATGTCGACTTGATAGTCCTCCTCATGGGATTGGCTCCACCAAATAT